AAACGGTTTCGGGAAAAAGCACTTGTTTTTTTTTCTTTTGCATGGTTGGCGGGCCTCGACTCGGTTCTACACATTTTCAACTTTACAAAGAAGTGGATTCGCCAACAGCAGATGAGAGAATTAAACGCAGGAAATGCAAAAGTAGCAAACACATAGAAGCCATAGGGGTCGAGAGGACCACTGTCCAGAGATGTTCAAACATTTGGAGAAATATCACGGATCATTAATGCACTTAGACTCTGCGGCATCGGCAAGAAACCACTCAAAAAAAAAGAAACAGTGGAAGAATGTGAGAAACCTCTAAAAAGGTTTGTTTCTATAACTTGTTTTCAGATGCATGTTTTCTCTAGTATCTCTCTGGGCTCTCCCTTGTCTATCTTTCTGCTCTCATTGCCTGGTCTCTCTCAGGTCTCTCTTAGGTCTCTTCCTGGTCTCTCTCTGGTCTCTCTCTGTTCTCTCTCTGGTCTCCCTCTGGTCTGTCTCTGGTCCTCTCTCTGGTCTCTCTCTGGTCCTCTCTCTGGTCTCTCTCTGGTCTCTCCCCTGGCTTCGTGTCTGTTCTAATCGCCTAGTCTCTCTCTGGTCTCTGTGGTCTCTCTCTGGTTTCTCTCTGGTCTCTCCCCTGTCTATCTCGCTGTTCGCATTGCCTGGTCTCCGACTGGTCTCCGACTGGTCTCTTTCTAGTTTCTCTTGTTTATCTCTGGTCTCTCACGTGTAGATATTTTTGGACTCTTACTGTGGTCTCTCTGGTCTCTCTCTGGTCTCTCTCTTGTCCCTCTCTGGTCTCTCTTTCTCGACTCTCTGGTCTCTCTCTTTCTAGTCTCTCTGGCCTCTCTCTGGTCTCTCACATGTAGATTTGTTTGGCCTCTGACTCATCTTTAAATCAGCCTTATTCAGACAGAACCACCTTCGCAAACGCACGAGGCTTTTGGGTTATTATGGAGTAATCTTACATTGTTTTTCTAAATGTACATAAAAAAGAACTACAAGAAAATAATAATATAGGGGTTTGAAGAACACAAACACACCAGATACCCCAGCTTTAAACATGCTACTTCATACACATACAGAACAGGCCTATAGCCAAAACTAATCCGCAGCACTTGACCCTTTAGCATTTCCTACACATAAAAAAAAACTTGGTAAAATAGAAAACCAACATTAATGGCTTCTGGAAATACGGTCTGCAGAAGCGAAACAAAATCCATTCACGTCCAACCATTAACTTTTGCTGATTCAAACACGCACACCCGCTGACTCTGCTTTTTCTTGCAACACAACATGAATAAACATCATTACAACACTAATAGACAATGTAGAGTTTATCACTGGACGTATCTATATTTGCAAAGCTAATAACGGTCTGATAGCCGGGCTCGCCTCGTTGCCACTGGCGATACCCCCTCTCTCGCCCTTTCTTTCTCTCTCCGACGTTGTATTTGTAGGTCACAGCTGCACTCTGGCCTACGGGCTGTGTACAAGGTGCACTAAACGCACATATGTTCTTGCCGACTATCCCGACGGTGCGCCTTTTGTTACTGTCCTGGAAACATTTGAATAACACCTACGGCTGTTGTTTCCTTATCTCGCCCGCCACCGCTCCGCTCGCCGCCTGTAGCCCCGCCCCTGCAGTAAAGGTTGGACGCTAAAAGGCATGGGAGCGCGGCACGTTCACTCAAGTATAATCACCTTGAAATTAATTAATGCCAACACAACAGGGCGAGATAGCATCAGCTGGTTCTGGCTTTTGTCTGGCCACCCAACCTCCTATTTATTTATTTATTTCTTTCAGGTTGCTGAGGTGGCTTGTCCCGGGCGTCATCGAGCTAACACGTTCGCTATCTTCGGGTTGTACATGGCGCCGTCGAGTAATTAATCTCAATGAGGCCCGTAGCGGAGGTAGGTATGATGGTGTCCCGAAATTCAATTACTTCCGATGCACCAGGAGGGGAAGAATAAGGAGCGTGTGGCCGTTTTGTCAGGTTATTGTGCGCCACCTGAGCCTTATCGGTGCAGGGCAGAGGCAGATTCTGTCAGAGGAGGCATGATAAAGCACAGGGAATTTACTTTTGATTGAGCGAGTTTTCAAAATTGAGGTAAAATTGGGAATGATCACCAGGAAATGGTTTTCAGAGTATGGCGCGATCTCTCGGTTAGGTTTCCCGATATTCAATAGATGTACACAGAGGCCCAAAGAACTGAAAGACTCTGTGTTTGAATGTGTTTAATATATACAAGTAGATAATAGTCAGATAAGATAATGTTACTGGATGAAAACAATAAAACACACTGGGTCCTCATGGTCCCTTTAAAGACAAATAAGTGAAAAGAGAAGTCTAGCTTTACTCAGCCCTGAGAGAGAGACCAAAGAGCGATCAGAGAGAGGCCAGAGAGAGGCCAGAGAGAGGCCAGAGAGAGGCCAGAGAGAGGCCAGAGAGAGGCCAGAGAGAGGCCAGAGAGAGACCAGAGAGAGGCCATAGAGAGGCCATAGAGAGGCCATAGAGAGGCCAGAGAGAGGCCAGAGAGAGACTAGAGAGAGACCAGAGAGAGAGCGAGAGAACAGAGATAGAAACCAGATAGAAAGCAGGGAGAGAGACCAGAGCGAAAGAGATCAGAGAGAGGCCAGAAAGAGACCAGAGACAGCGGAAAGAGAGAGACTAGAGAGAGGTGAGAGAGAGACCAGAGAGAGACCGGAAAGAGACCAGAGAGAGACCAGAGAAAGAACAGAGAGAGAGACCAGAGATAGAGACCAGGGAGAGATCAGTGAGAGACCAGAGAGAGGCCAGAGAGAGAGACCAGAGAGAGATTAGAGAGAGACCAGAGAGAGACCATAGAGAAAGACCAGAGAGAGAGACAAGACAGAGGCCAGAGAGAGAGATAGAACAAAGAGAGATCAGAGAGAGACCTCGGACAGACCAGAAAGAGAAACCAGATAGAGAGCAGGGAGAGAGACCAGAGACAGACCAGCAAGAGACCCGGAAACAAGATCACAGAGAAAGACCAGGGGTAAAGAGACCAACGTGAGAAACTTTACAGAGAGAGAAACCAGACAGAGACCAAAGAGGTGTGATGAACTGTTGAAATCCGAAAAATCAGGTCAATAAAACGCCAGCGTCAAAACCCGTCATTATGAAATCGTGACATAATTTTATTACAGTTGACCCTTACAAACTCCACTGCTTTCTTTGCCGGATAGATTGGAAACTCCCGAGCATCCATGATCGGTTGGATGTGTCTAATGTCTTCTTCTTCTTCTCTCACGACTGCGTATTGACCTACATTCTGCTCTCCATTGATTAAGTGTTGACACAAGGCTGTATCGCTGTTTTAATTATTTGCATGGCCGCCTTTTGACTACATACATGTCAATAGGAGCGAAAATTGTGGGACGGCAGCAAAACCCGAGGCAGGGAGCGAGACGAGCGAGAGAGAGAGGGCGTCCCCCGGGAGACCGTGAGACCGTGTCAAACATACTTTCTTTTATCCATCGCACACAGGCCGCAAATACTGCCCACTTTAGCAAATCAGCAAATGTGGATCGGCCCGAGATTATGAAGCAGGTGCCTGGATTTTAGGTTAAGATAAGTTAAAATGTGTTTAGTTTTGTTGTTGTTTGAGTTTTGAGCAGATGAGAGGAAGAGTGAGGATAGTGATGTGTAACCGTGGAGATAGGATGTGGGGAGACGAGAAAGACGAGTGAGGGAGAGCAGAGAGAGAGAGAGAGAAGGGGAAGGGAGAATGGAGAGTACAGGGTGGGCCAGAGAGAGAGTGACCAAAAGAGAAAGACCAGAGAGAGAGAGCAGAGAGAGACCAGGGAGAGAGAGCAGGGAGAGAGACCAGAGAGAGACCACAAAGAAACCAGAGAGAGAGAAAGAGCAGGGAGAGACACCAGGGAGACAACATAGCGAGAGACCAGAGATAGAGAGTAGAGAGAGACCAGCGTGAGAGACCAGAGAGAGACCACAAAGAAACCAGAGAGAGAGAAAGAGCAGGGAGAGACACCAGGGAGACAACATAGCGAGAGACCAGAGATAGAGAGTAGAGAGAGACCAGCGTGAGAGACCAGAGAGAGAGACCAGAGAGTAGTAGTAAGTAGTTATCTTTATTTATATACCGCCTTTTCACTGCAGATCTGAGTCTCAAAGCGGTTTACAATAGTTAATTATGGGCATTTGTCTCTCACTCCACACAGAGATGGGAGCGAGTCGCCAGTACAGGAGGCGCATGCCAGAACTATTGGACATATTTTTAGTGGTAGGGGAAACCGGAGTACCCGGAGGAAACCTACGCAGACACGGGGAGAACATGCAAACTCCACTCAGAAAGGCCCTGGTCCAACCGGGACTCGAACCCAGGACCTTCTTGCTGAGAGGCGAGAGTGCTATCCACTCAGCCACCGTGCCGCCCGAGAGAGAGTAGGTAGAGAGACCAGAGAGAGGAGAGAAAGAGACTGGGGAGAAACACTTTGGAGAGAGCTCATGGAGAGAGATCAGAGATAGACCAGAGAGAGAAACCACATAGAGACCAGGGAGATGGACCAGAGAGAGGGCATGGTGTGACCAGGGAGAAAGACTCGGCAGAGACCAAAGAGAGACCAGGGAGTGTGGTGAACAGAACAGATCAGAACAAGTGTAGAATAGTTGAAATAGTAAAAACCCAGCCTCCTATACGTCTCAAAATCAACCAGTTATTATTGCACATCGCCATGACAACACCCCCACACCCCTCCCACCGCCGCAGTGCATTCCGGCGCACATAGAGACGTCAGCCTTTCGCCAGAGCCCTCTCCTTCGCTGTCCGGGACGTCTTAACTCGCCGTGTGATTAAACTGGCAGGGGCCCTCGTTGTCCCAGCTGTTAGCCGCCGTGCGTAAGCTGCAATTCAAGTGGAAATCCCGGTAAACGGCAGGTCCTGGAGGAGACCTAATCCGGGCTCAGGGCAGGTTTGGTCAGGTGCAGCCGCGGGTAATCCCCACAGCTGGCAGAGGATCACCGCCGTGACTTATGGAGCCGCATCTTCCCCGTGTAGGTGAGGACTGGAATGAACCGGACTGTACGGGATCAAGGCAGGGACTAAGAAGTACTGTTATTTTTATGTCGGATTAATCAAAATCAAATCCTGTGCAATGAACATGTCCTGTCTCTCCTGTTTTATTCTCCATTTGTGTTTGTATATTTGTGGTCAGACCTGCAGGTGAAAGCCATGTCCCGTCAGACCTCTGAATTATAAGAAGGGCAGGGCCTGGTTGGTGCTGTGATGGGAGACCTCTGGGAACACCAGGTGCCACAGTGGGGCGGCTGCGGCTGTAAAGTGCCAAACGGTAGTCGTGTCTTCGAAAGCCCGAAGAGAGAGACCAGAGAGAGAGAGAGAGAGAGAGGCCAAAGAGAGAGTCCAGAGTAATACCAGAGAGAGATTAGAGAAAGAGTCCAGAGAAAAAGTGGAGAAAGCCCAGAGAGACCAAAGAGAGAGAGCAGAGAAAGACCAAAGTGGCCAAAAAGAGAACCCAGAGAGAGAGAGAGACCAAAGAGAGAGAGTCCAGAGTAATATCAGAGAGAGATTAGAGAAAGAGTCCAGAGAAACAGTGGAGAAAGCCCAGAGAGACCAAAGAGAGAGAGCGACCAGAGAGAGAGAGTTCAGAGAGAGACCAGAGAGAGACCAAAGAAAGAGACCAGAGAGAGACTAGAGAGAGAGACCAGAGAAAGACCAGAGAGAGACCAGAGAGAGACCTGACAGAGAGAGCAGAGAAAGGACAGAGCAAGACCATAGAGTGGCCAAAGAGAGAGACCAAAGAGAAACCAGACAAGTTCCAGAGCGAGATAATTTCCACCTCTGTCACAATTGTGAGGGGAATAAATTACATACCCCAGCTTTAACTTAAAGTCAAACTCATGAAAAAATTAGATATTGTGAATCGTGAAAGAATAGAAATTGATTCCCGATATCACAGAAACCACTGAGTCATGTGACCGAGATAATTCTTTCTAAAGTCACCGAGGGGGGGGTGTTTTTTCTCGAGCGTGGTTCCAGTGGATTCTGATCTATAGTCGACATTAACCACACACTCAGACTGGAGACATCAGAGCAATCGCTGTTATGTTTGCCAGCCGCTGAAATGAGCACTTTTTCAGAAGAATTTCCACTGAAAGAAACATAATTGATCCACGTGGGAAATTACTTTGGAAGCAGCAGCTCAGAAATACAAAATAAAAGAGTCTTAATTACAAAGTGCAAATAGAATAGTAAATAACAGCTCGCAGTATAAGGTGCTGAGAGAACAGATGTGTCTTGGTACCAGCCCCCGATGCAGACCAGGCATGATGCAACAACAGTAATGGGAGAGAATGGAGCACCTGGAGGAACCTACACACAGCAGACGCAGGGAGAACATGCAAAATCCAAACAGAAAGTTCTTGTCTGGAGATGGAAACGGACTCAGTCGAACCCCGGTCTTTGTTCTCTTGCACAAAAGTGAGAGATTTTCAAGTTCAGCTTTAAGCAGCCACTACTCTTCAATCACTTCATTCACTTCAATAACCCTGACTACTGTTTGCACTAGAATAAAAAAAAAGTTCCCTCTGTTTTGTGTTTTTATTCTGGCACTTGTGTACAGAAGCACATGTTATTTTATGTGAATATTTGCTAAGATACCTTGTGCATGATTTAAATAAAATAAATAAAATAAAATTGTCTAAAGGGCGTGCAAAGGAGCGGTGTGATGTCACAGCACGACAACACTGCTTCAAATCGGCATGTAAGTCATGTGACCTAGCATCATGTGACCTGGCATCATGTGACCTGGCATCATGTGACCTAGCATCATGTGACCTAGCATCATGTGACCTAGCATCATGTGACCTAGCATCATGTGACCTGGCGTCGGCCCATCTGAACCACTCTGTTCCTCGTCGCTCTTCTTTTGGTTTTTTTCTCTCACCAAAACGACTGCGGCCGAGTCAGAAACCTGTGTGTGTGTGTGTGTGTGTGCACCTATGTTTGTTAATGTGTGTGTGCCTATGTGTGTAGATATGCAGGTCTGTCTTTATGTGTTTGTGTGTGTTTGTGTGTGTATTTGTTTCTGTGTGTGTGTGTCTGTTTGCCTGTGTGTGTGTGTTTGTGCACCTGTGTTTGTTTATGTGTGAGTGTGTGTAGGCCTACGCGTGTGTGTTCTTGTGTGCCTGTGTGTGTGTTGTGTGTGTGTCTGTTTGCCTGTGTGTGTGCTTATGCACACTTGTTTATTAATGTGTGTGTGTGTTGCTGTGTGAGTGTGTCTGTTTGCCAGTGTGTGTGTTTTAGCGCATGTATTTGTTTATGTGTGTGTAGGCCTACACGTTTGTGTCTGTATTCCTTTGTGCCTGTGTTTGGTTCTGTGTGTGTGTCTATTTGCCTGTGTGTGTGTTTGTGCACCTATGTTTTTTTATGTGTGAGTGTGTGTAGGCCTACGCGTGTGTGTGTGTGTTCTTGTGTGCCTGTGAGTGTGTTGTGTGTGTGTCTGTTTGCCTGTGTGTGTGCTTGTGCACACTTGTTTATTTATGTGTGTGTGTGTTGCTGTGTGTGTGTGTGTCTGTTTGCCAGTGTGTGTGTTTTAGCGCATGTATTTGTTTATGTGCGTGTGTAGGCCTACACGTTTGTGTCTGTATTCCTTTGTGTCTGTGTGTGTGCATGTGTTTGGTTCTGTGTGTGTGTCTATTTGCCTGTGTGTGTGTTGGTGCACCTGTGTTTGTGTGTGTGTAGGCCTACGTGTGTGTGTGTGTGTGTTCCTGTGTTCTCGTGTGCCTGTGTGTGTGTGTGTTGTTTCTGTGTGTGTGTTTGTGCGCCTGTGTTTGTTTAAGTGTGTGTGTGTGTGTAGGCCTACGCGTGTGTGTCTGTGTTCCTGTGTGTGTAGATGTACGCGCCTGTATTTGTGTGTGTGTGTAGGCCCATGTTTGTTTGCCCATGTGTGCTTGTGCGTGCGCATGTACCTATGTGTGTCTCTGTCTGTCTGTGTTTGTGTGTGTGTTTTTGTGTGTGTGTGTGTGCGTAGAGGAAATGGCCGCTTCAATATCGCTCTGATTAAACTTCCCATTTACCGCGGAGAACCTGTTCTTGGCAGGACGCCCCCGACCGGTGCCAAGCTCTTTGAAACCTAATCAGTTTTTGCTTCTCAGATCACTATCCGCCGTGAGTGAGTCCTCGCCTGGATGTGAAGCTAAAGGAGGGGGGGGGGGGGTGGAAGTGTGTGTGTGGGGGGGGTTGCTGGACGCGGCCAACTGGCAGCGCACCAAACGCTCGCACCTGTTTGGAGTCGGGAGGTGCAGCGCGCAGCAGCGGAGACTCGTGCAGGTCCGGTCTCCGTGGAGATGTTTCATTAGTTTGAAATAACTCACAATTCTACAGGAATCAGAGACGAGGCGGCCCAGGAGTGTTTTGTGGTCTTAAATGTGCGCTTTCAAAGTTCAGCACCTGCGCTTCTTCACAGAGATCTTACCTCTTCAGACGTCAAAGCAGTAGAAAAGCCACATGAGAGACCCATAATACAGGACACTTTCTATACAGGGATTTGGGTTAAAGTGGCTCTATCTCTCCAGGGCCTCGCACCAAAGTACATCTGTGACAAGTTAGTGCCACATGAACCAGCTCTGAGGAGCACAGGGACTGGCCTGCAGCTGGGACTCTGAGGAGCACAGGGACTGACAATAAAAGAGAGACCAGACAGACAGAGACCAGAGAGAGCAAAAAGAGACCAGACAGAGACCAGAGAGAGACCTGAGAGAGACCAAAAAGAGACCAGAGAGAGACCAGACAAAGACCATGAGAGAGACCAAAAAGAGACCAGAGAGAGACCAGACAGAGACCAGAGAGAGACCAAAAAGAGACCAGGGAGAGACCAGACAGAGACCAGAGAGAGACCAAATATTGACCAAAGAGAGACCTGAGTGGGATCAAAATGAGACCAAAGAGAGACCAGACCGAGAACAGACAGATACTAGACACTGAGGATCATGGGGACCGGCCTCATGTTAGGACTCCGAGACTTTGAGGGGCACAGGGTACAGAGTAGAACCGAGTGGAGAAGAGCCGGTGGAAACGGGGCTAAACTGTTTCAAACCCAAGTATCATTGCTTTTATGACAGAGATCCATTTGTTGTGGTTAAAGTTAAGAAAAGTGAGGAATGAGCAAAAAGTTACAAATTAACTTGTTTGTTATGGTTTCCAGATGTAAAAGTCCGGTACTGGCCCTTGCACTGCCAGAAGTGATGAAAAATAAGTAACAAAATGCTCTAATTTGGCAAAAATTATCATAATTCTAACACATTCTGAATACAATGTAGGACAAGAAAAATCTCCTTTAGAATGTGTAACTAAGACTAAATGGCTTCGTCATGTTGGAAAATGTAGTTTTTTAGTCAGAATCCACTAAAAAACACACCAGTATTTCCTCATATTTTACTCCAAACTTCCATATTTTACGTTCCCACTGACGCACTTCGTTCCCGATCTCTCTCTCTTTCATCGTTCATCTTTCCCAGATTCCTTTTCCTGTTTTTCTTTATTAACTCGATGCTTTTTTTCAAACTGTTTCCCATAATTCTCATATTTAACACGTTTAAGCCGCAGTGGTGTGTGTACTGTATATGAGTGTGTGTGTGTGCTGTATATGTGTGTGTGCGTGTACTGTATATGTGTGTGCGTGTGTGCGTGTACTGTATATGTGTGTGCGTGTGTGTGTGTACTGTATATGAGTGTGTGTGTACTGTATATGTGTGTGCGTGTGTGCGTGTACTGTATATTGTGTGTGCGTGTACTGTATATGTGTGTGCGTGTACTGTATATGTGTGTGCGTGTGTGCGTGTACTGTATATGTGTGTGTGTACTGTATATGTGTGCGTGTACTCCATATGTGTGTGTGCGTGTGTGTGTACTGTATGTGTGTGTGTGTGTACTGTATATGTGTGCGTGTACTCTATATGTGTGTGTGCGTGTGTGTGTGTACTGTATGTGTGTGTGTGTGTACTTTATATGTGTGTGCATGTACTCCATATGTGTGTGTGCGTGTGTGTGTACTGTATGTGTGTGTGTGTACTGTATATGTGTGTGCGTGTACTCCATATGTGTGTGTGTGTGTGTGTGTACTGTATGTGTGTGTGTGTACTTTATATGTGTGTGTGCATGTACTGTATATCTGTGTGTGTGTGTGTATGTGTGTGCGTGTACTGCATATATGTCTGTGTGTGTGTGTGTGCGTGTACTGTATATGTGTGTGTGTGTGTACTGTGTATGTGTGTGTGCGTGTACTGCATATGTGTGTGTGTGCTGTGTGTGTGTGTGTGTGTGTACTGTATGTGTGTGTGTGTACTGTATATGTGTGTGTGTGTGTGTGTGTGTGTGTATGTATGTGTGTGGTGTACTTATATTGTGTGTGCATGTACTGTATGTGTGTGTGTGTGTGTGCGTGTACTGTATATGTCTGTGTGTGTGTGTGTGCGTGTACTGCATATGTGTGTGTGTGCGTGTACTGCATATGTGTGTGTGCATGTACTGTATGTGTGTGTGTGTGTGTGCGTGTACTGTATATAAGTGTGCATGTAATGTATAAGTGTGTGTGTGTACTGTATGTGTGTTTGTGTGTGATAGCTCTTTAACGGATTTTGGATTTGATTCATGGCGTGTGCTCTCTCCCTTTCTCTCTCTCTCTCTCTCTCTCTCTCTCTCTCTCTCTCCTGCGATAAAACACATTAACCTGAATATGGCTCTCCGCAGTGACCAAGGGAATTACGGCGACGGCGGCTTATCCCACACCGGTATCAACATAAGCCTGGCACATTCCAACAAACCCGGACCCCCGACCAACTGCTCCAGAACCCCCTGCTGGCCAATCCATCACCGCACACTCTCCTCCCTTTTGCTCTATTTGTCTTCCTAATTAACGACCGGAGCCATTTGCAAATGATAGATGAGGGATGATAGCAGGATCCGCGGGCACAGCCGGTGGTGGACGTGCTAGCTGCGTTCACCTGACGGGGATCTGGCAACGCGCCGAGCACTCAGACAAGCCGGACAGCGACGATTTGATGGATTTATTTTATTTTTTTTTCGGTGTAAGAGGCTTTTTTTTAGGCGAAATGTTTCTAATGCAGGATTAGTAGGTAGGCGCAATCTGTTGCCGTTACCTACGTGCGATCCAGGACACGGCACAGCAGGATTGGGGAATATTAAAAGTGCATTTAGCCGGAGATATGCCAGCGTATTTTTTTTTTTTGATCCAGGTGGATTTACATCGGCTCAGGCCCCGCAATCCGAGCTGCACTCGCGTATGGAGGAGTTCTGTCCCATCTGAAAGCATGGTCGCTGATCCGCCTGAAGTGCATTGCGGCTCAAAAAATGGACTGTTTACAAGTTGTCACGGCAACAAACGCACGTGAAAAGTGCCGGATTAATGATATTTATGCTGCTTTGGAGAATGCGTTTTAGCTCTCTTGGTTCAGGTTCAACGGCAATAGCGGATTTGTAATGATGAATACATGTCGACACTAGCTTTTCTGGTACAGCTAGAGGTGTTCTGGTCCCCATGGTTTTATCGCAGGGGTGATGTGTTCTAAAATACAGAGATAAGAGATGTCCGTGAAGTAGCAGCTCTATGTTTAAAGGCTGTAAAATCCCTCACCGTAGTCTGTATGTAAACTTTTCTGAGTGAGAGAGCCCAGAGAAAGACCAGATAGAGAGACCAGAGAGAGAGACCAGAGAGAGAGACCAGATAGAGAGACCAGAGAGAGAGAGACCAGAGAGAGAGACCAGAGACAGACCAGAAACAGGCCAGAGAGAGACCAGAGACAGGCCAGATATGTCATGGTTTAAGTTTATTTCCTGTTTTATTTTGAAATGTGTTATCCCTGTGTCTTCTTTGGTTGTACATCCTGTTGTCTGCTTACCTGCCCTGCCCGCATCTGTCTCACCTGTGTCTCGTTAGTCTTGTATTTAGCCCTGTGTGTTCCTTCACTCCCTGTTCCGTCATTGTCATTCCTAGTCTGTTTTAGTTCTGTCCGTTCCCTGTGTTTTTGGTAGGTCTTGATTTGTATTACTTTCATTAAATCCATCATTTTGCAGCTTTTGCTTTTTGGGCCTCATTTGTTTTTCACCCACGTGACAAGATAGGGACCAGATAAAGGCCAGAGAGAGAGACCAGAGAGAGAGAAATCAGAGAGAGACCAGAGAGAGGGACCAGAGAGAGACCAGAGACAGGCCAGATAGAGATAAACCAGAGAGAGAGAGACCAGAGAGAGACCAGAGAGAGAGACCAGAGAGAAACCAGAGAGAGACCAGAGAGAGGCCAGAGAGAGAACAGAGATATCAAAGCTGTTGCTTGTAGGTACTGTATGTGCGCTGCTACAGCTGTCAAAAGCCACTGTACAATACAGTTGCAGAGGACCGGAGATAGACCAGAAAGGTACCATAGAAAGACCAGAAAGAGAGACCAGAGAGTGACCAGAGAAAGACCAGAAAGACCAGACAGTGACCAGAGAGAGCCCAGTTTGTATAAAAACGGTCCAAATAAAAGAGTGGCAATGAATTATCGTCGGTTGCACTGGTCTGCAAGAGTCTGATCAAGGCGTTGAGGCAGAAACGTGTTTATGAATAAATAATTGCCATCTGCAATGTTTTCTTTACCCTTTTCATAATATTTTCCTGCATCTGCCTCTCAGATAGAGTTTTTGATCTGCAGGAATTCCATCTTAAAAAAACAAAATAACCATCAACACATTTATATGGAGTAAATAAGCCACAAGTTGGAAATGGTATTTTTTTTTCTGTTTTAATTAACACAAAATGGAATCGTGTCAACTCAATCTCTCATTCCAATATATTTATTTGTTTATTATTTTAATTGTGGCCATGACAATACACCAAATATTACAATTACATTTAAAATCATTGTCACGCAAAGGAAAAGTAGCAGAAAGAAGAAGAAGAAAAAGAATTGAATATGTTATTAATTTAAACAAGCTAACAACACACCAATAATAATAATAATAATAATAAAAATAATGAGATACAACATCAAACTTGTAGACCAGAGAAAGACCAGAGAGACCAGAGAGAGACGAGAGAGAGACGAGAGAGAGACCAGAGAGAGACCAGAGAGAGACCAGAGAGAGACCAGAGAGAGATCAGAGAGAGACCAGAGAGAGATCAGAGAGACCAGAGAGAGAGACCAGAGAGAGAGAGAGACCAGAGAGAGACACCAGAGAGAGAGACCAGAGAGAGACCAGAGAGAGATCAGAGAGAGACCAGAGAGAGAGACCAGAGAGAGAGAGAGACCAGAGAGAGAGACCAGAGAGAGACCAGAGAGAGATAAGAGAGACCAGAGAGAGAGACCAGAGAGAGATCAGAGAGAGACCAAAGAGAGACCAGAGAGAGAGGATCCGAGAGAGACCAGAGAGATAGACCAGAGAAGACCAGAGCGAAACCAGAGAGAGAAAGAGAGACCAGAGAGAGACAGACATCAACGCGCAGATTCAGACTGAAAGACAGGCCATGGCTCTCACCCGTCCAGGGCCCGCCAATCACACAGCTCTGCCAGCCTCAAGCCTCTGCCAATCACACAGGCCGGCCAGCCCCTTGACCACCCACTGACAGCAAAGCGGGCAATGTTAAAGCAGCCACTCCCTGATAAACAGCGCTTCCTGAAGCTCTTAACACCCACCACCTCCCCAGCTTCTCCTCAGCTCCTGGTTCCTATACTCAGGTTTCCGCTCTGGCTCTGGCTCCTGCTCTGGCTCCTGCTCTGGCTCCCGCTCCGCCTGCGCCCCATTCACACCATGCTTCTAGCCACCACCAGTGCTTGACCTTAGGGGGGGTCTGAGATTATCTACAGCAGCAGACGATCTCCCCTCTGCAAGTGTCACTGCCGGGATCAATGCGCCAATCAAACAAATATTTTTCATGCATTAATGTTTCTGTCTCGGTCTCTTCAGATTGAAACGACCCTAGAGAGAGACCGGAGAGGACCAGAGGTTTCTGATCCGGAACTCGCTGCTTGGTTTGCGTCCCCCGCAGTCTCCGATCCTCTTTCCAAAGTTCAGCAGAAGAAGAAGTCGTTACGGCGGAGAATCTCCGATCCTCAATACACAAACAAATCGACTGCAGCCTTTATTTTTGATCATTGGAATCGCCTAGAGCCAGTGAAGCTCCCATTCCCGGGCCTTTGATTCCGCCCTGTCTGCCTTTAATAATGCAGCCGGGTCTTGGAGGCCGCCCGGGGGCCCGTCTCCTCGCCCTGACGTCGGCCATCTTGGACAGGAAACACAGGCCCTACACAGTCCGCGGGCTGCGAGCACAAAGAGGCACATTAAACACCGGAGTTTATCGGTCCGCATTAGGCCTGCAATTCAAAATGTCTTTAATCTTCATCTCTCCTTCACGTTTGCGGCAGAAATAAAACCCAACCTTCCCAAAACACAGACAGATCATCAAAAATGAATTACTCCTTCCTCCCCCCCCCACCCCCAACACCTCCTCCTCTCCCTCATTTCCATAAGACTCCTTTAAAAAATGTAAAATTCGTTTAAAGTAACTAGTGACGTTGTCTTTGAAGATCAGGACAACTAGCTGGGATCAAAGCCGGGCTTCTCCGCGGATGAGAACCTGATTAGCATAATGAAATTAACTCCAAGACAAGAATCTTTAATAGGTGCAACACAAATGCATTAACAATATTTAAGCAAAGGCTGTTTGTGTTCCGTAATTCAACAATTAGACAAGTTGGCTTTAATTAACGGGTCCTTGTGAAAGTTAACATCAAAAACGCGCCTCAGAATCGTCTGCTTCTCTGTTTGACTTTTGAAAAATCCCATTGTTTTGTTCTGCTCTTGAATCGGGCCATGAAATCAACGGGAATTTGCATATTCACACCGATAATTGCCGGGGCGCCAGATAGTTGAGTTATAATTGTGGAATAATGAGAGCAACATATTTGTGAAGTCCTGAGCGCGGCGCCAAACCGGGACGACGCCGGTCATCGGAACCGGAACCATGGACCAACGGAGGACTGAAGGCCACACTGCAAAAAAAAAAAAAGATCAATAATGAAGTAACAGAAGCTTTTTTTATCGTAATTTCAGGATATTTTCCACGAGATTCTCCAATGGGAAGAAGCCATTTAGACTTATTTTGAAAACTGTTGCATTTTTTTCTCATTCACACTTCGTTTGTCGTGTCCCATTTGGCAAATTTTGTTTTAATTCAGTCAAAATGAGCTCAAATCAAGATGCATTTAGCCAAACTCGAGAAATTTTCGACATACTTTGCATCATTTTGTTGCAGTGAACCCTCCTATCGAGCATTCGGAAGGATTTTATCTGAACTGTTTTGAATTAATGATTTCAATCCCATGTGTGCTTGTAATATTTTAAGGTTTTTAATTGATTGTGTGATTTTATTTCATGTTTTTCAGCTCTTATCGTATGTTTTTTTATTGTATCTGATAACGGGTGTGTATATTTGAATGTTTATGATTTATGCCTGATGTGATGTTTGTTGTTGGGGCGACAGTAGCTCAGTTGGTAGAGCATTGGCCTTAAGGCCTGAAGATCGTGGGTTCAATTCCCACCTCTGCACCTTCTCCACCGACTCCCACTGATGACTGCTGTCGTTGTGTCCTTGGGCAAGACACTTAACCCCACTTTGCCCAAAGCCCCCACTGAAAGATCAAGGCTATGCTCACACTCAGAGAGCAGCCGTCCTCCTGTGGACTCACCACCTGCAGAGGGTCAGTGAGGGGCTGGTGCTATGAGACTTGGGTGGCAGCTCTGACTGCCACCCCCCTGACCCAGAAATGGATTAAAGGGTAGAAAATGGATGGATGGATGGATGATGTTTGTTTGTGAGGTGCTTTGTGTAGGATATAAATGTTGCTTTGATTGCACTTGTGTTTTCTTAGTCCTGGTTCAAACCTGGTCTTGCATTGGTCCAGAGTTAGTCCCGGTCCCGTCGGCAGCCTCAAGAAATGATGGACTAAAGACGTTGGATCATTCAGGTCTCTTCACGGTCTTTTGTCGTTCGTCAAAGCGACAGCAGCAAAATACAAACACTTGGAACGATAAGTTTTTATTTTTTACAGTGACTGAGAACGAGAACATGTCAAATCCACTTGGAGCACAGGGACTGGCCTCCTGCTGGGACTCTGAGGAGCACAAGGACTGGCCTCCTGCTGGGACTCTGAGGAGCACAGGGACTGGCCTCCTGCTGGGACTCTGAGGAGCACAGGGACTGGCCTCCTGCTGGGACTCTGAGGAGCACAGGGACTGGCCTCTGCTGGTCCCAGAGTCAGGACTAAACATGAGAAGACTGCATTTCAGATTCATCCCTTTAAAACCTGGAACAGTCTTCCTGAAAATGCGAGACGGGCTTCTTCTCTGACAATGTTACTTTCTAATTTAACTTTTTTATACCTTGTCTGATTGATCCTGACCTTGTTTTGTTTAGCCTTGGTTTCGAATTGCGCTACACAAAAAAACTTGCCTCGCCTGACCAATGCGCCGACAAGATGTTACAATTTTTATTTTTGATTTTTTTTCACAAAGTTTGAGAAACGGCGAGAAAAAAGAAACAAGAATCCCAGGGGCCGCGGTGACAGACAGGAGCCCCTCTCGCTGAACATCTGACGACCGTTTGGCTTCTGGGAGGTTGCGCTCTTGTTTTTCCGACTGCGGTGAAAGAGCATTCCAAATGAGTAGCACTTGTCGCTCTCTTTCGGGCTCATTACGGTCGGCGTTGTGGTGGCGCCCGGCTCCGTCCAGCGCGTCGCTAATCAACGCTGTTTTGGTGTTGTTTGAAACGCTAACCTGCGGGGACGACGGGACCAAAAAGATGCTGCATAATTTAGTGCTTTTGTCTCGGGACGGCTGCGGCGGGCGGAGATTGCGTCATTGTCAATTTTTGTTATGTTTTTGTTATTTCTTTTATTGTTTTGCTTTAATGAGAGTTTGTGGAGATGCGTGCTGTGGCTGAGTGGTTAGCAAATGGCAAGATCCTGATTGGGGCAAAAACATGGACAGTGGTGGAGTGGTTAGCGCCTGTGCTAAGTAGCTCCTGGGTCTGATTCTACCTCCAGGCATTTCTGTGTTGAGTTTCCTCCGGGCGCTCCGGTTTCCCCTGCCACTAAAAAAATGTGCAATAGTCTGGATGTAGTGAGAGAGCGGACGGTGACGCTCGGAGCCTTGATTTGCGCTAAAGATACATTGGAAAAAAAATCCCTTGAAAAACATAAATAAGTAAAATAGTGAAAAATTAGAAAAAATATGTAAAAATAGAAGAAGAAATCGTAACTTTAAATTTCTGAAAATAATACGATAATGCTCGCTACAAAGTATTTAATTATTTATTACATTTTTTTGAGAAATATGGCATCACAAACTTATCTTATCTAGACAAGAAATGTCTGGAATTAAGATAAAATACATAGAATAATCTTTAAAAGTCTTTTTTATGAAGATTATGAAGTACGTTAAAACTAATAAAATAATATTATGAAAAACTACATTCAAGTTTAAAAAAACTTGCCATTAAATAAACAACCGTCATTGATGTAATTTTTTAGGAAATAAACCTTACCAATATTTTACTTTTTGCTGTGCACTTACAAATAAGTATTAGTATTTTTTAAGAGTTCCGTTCACAATTTTTTTTATGAAACTAAAAAAAACAGAATATTTTGTATTTTACGTACTTTGCAAAACTCACCCTTAGAACGGAATAAAATATTTCTTTACATTTATTTCATGTGTGGGATTTTATTGTGGAATCTTTTTACTTTTTTAACTTATTAGCACCAAATCTTAGTGACTTCCTGTTTCTTACAAATGCAACAAAATAATCCTAACTCCGAATTATCAATAATTTCACGTCCAGGGATTGACAGTTTTTAGAATTAATAAAAAACAGCTATTCATAAAAAAAATAAACAATAATAACAAAAACAATAATAATTTTAATGTTTAAAAGTAAAGGAAAATATACATTAATATAATTAATGGTACATACAAATTGGAAAATAAGAATAGCACAAATAATAATAATTAAAATGATTGAAATGATAAAAATCAATATATTAAAAAAAAACATTTACATACAAATGCATATATGAATAAGTACACATTAATTAATAAAATAAATACAATTAAATTGTATTGTTGATAAAAATATGATAGTTCAGAAAAACACACATTCTCAACATTGTATGAGCTTCACATTTTTGTTTTTTCTTCTTTTCTTGTGCTATACAAATAAACCCGACGAGGGGAGATGGCGTCATGAGTGTAAGTATGTGAGGGAGAGGAGGGAGAGGAAGAAGAGGAGGGAGGGGACGAAGAGGAGGAGGGAGGATGGGGGATGACGTTCCAGTGACCCAGATTAGGTCTCTAAACATAAATAAATAATCAGGCTCTAACTATAACTCCACTTTCAGAGAGCGGAGCCAGAGCAGAGTCCAGAACACAGGTACCCCAGCTTTAACATGATTACACATCTATTTATATATAACACTGGAGAAAAGACAGGAGAGAGACTAGAGAGAGACCGGAGAGGAACGAGAAAGAGACTAGAGAGAGACTAGAGAGATACCAGAGAGGGACGAGAGAGGGACCAGAGAGAGACTAGAGAGAGACCAGAGAGAGAGCAGAGAGGGACTAGAGAGAGACCAGAGAGGGACGAGAGAGGGACGAGAGAGGGACCAGAGAGAGACTAGAGAGAGACCAGAGAGAGAGCAGAGAGGGACTAGAGAGAGACCAGAGAGAGACCGGAGAGGGACTAGAGAGAGAGAAAGAGACTGGAGAGGGACCAGAGAGAGCAGAGAGGGACTAGAGGGAGACTAGAGAGAGACTAGAGAGAGAGCAGAGAGGGACTAGAGAGAGACTGGAGAGAGACTAGAGAGAGCAGAGAGGGACCAGAGAGAGACCGGAGATGGACCAGAAAGAGCTGAGAGGGCCCAGAGAGAGACTAGAGAGAGACCGAAGAGGGACCAGAGAGAAACTGGAGAGAGACCGGAGAGGGACCAGAGAGAGACTAGAGAGAGAGCAGAGAGAGACCAGAGAGAGAGCAGTGTCCAGAACACAGGTGTATCTCAGCTTTCACATTATTACAATCACATTTATTTATATATAACATTCATCATTGAGCGGAACAATACATTTTCTCTGGCTGACTGTTTGAGGACAGGTGCATGAGACCAGAGTGAGTCAAGAATAAAGGACAATTTGGAAAAGGGAGTATTTTTCGTGGTTTTTGAGTTGCTGTTTTTCTGGTGAAGTTACAGGTCACGTCTGCGAAGAGGCGAGTCCGATAAAGGTTAGAGAAAAGAGACTAAACCACACAAGCAACAAGATCTCTGGGAGGGTGTGCAGACCAGGACCAGGAACGATAGATGGTGTAGTGTGAAGAGAGAGACCAGAGAGGGACCAGAGAGAGACCAGAGAGGTACCAGAGAGAGACCAGAGAGGGACCAGAGAGGGACCATAGAGAGACCAGAGAGAGACCAGAGAGGTACCAGAGAGAGACCAGAGAGGGACCAGAGAGGGACCATAGAGAGACCAGAGAGAGACCAGAGAGGGACCAGAGAGGGACCAGAGAGAGACCAGAGAGGGACCATAGCGAGACCAGAGAGAGACCAGAGAGAGACCAGAGAGGGACCAGAGAGGGACCAGAGAGAGACCAGAGAGGTACCAGAGAGAGACCAGAGAGGGACCAGAGAGGGACCATAGAGAGACCAGAGAGAGACCAGAGAGGGACCAGAGAGGGACCAGAGAGAGACCAGAGAGGGACCATAGACCGAGACCAGAGAGAGACCAGAGAGGGACCAGAGAGGGACCAGAGACACACAAGAGAGAGACTAGCGAGAGACTCGAGAGAGACGACAGAGAGACTAGAGAGGGACCAGAGAGAGACCGGAGAGGGACCAGAGAAAGACCAGAGAGAGATTAGGCCGAGACCGCAGAGGGACGAGAGAGAGACCAGAGAGAGACCGGAAGAGGGACCAGAGAGAGACTAGAGAGAGATTAAAGAGATACTAGAGAGAGACCAGAGAGACCACGGAAGGAACAAAAGAGACAAGTGAGCCAGCCATTTTATCCGAATATTTTCCCAGTTTTTTTTCATGAAGACAGCATGTTTTGGTCTGATTGGTTCGAAAACAAGGTGGGAGCAAACATAGGTACCCCAGCTTTAATATATACTGTACATGTATTTACCTACACCCTGCTGTTGTTCTAATACCATAAACATAGGCAGCTTGTGAGGCCGGAGGACAGTACGGAGAGAGACCGGAATGTAACAACCCAACCAGCGCTCTAAATAAACGTGTTGCATGTTTCTCTTGGACGCCGCTCCGTCTCTCTCTCTCTCTCAAAAAAAGGAAAAAAAGAAAACCAGGACCTGAACAAGGACCGGGCCGGGCGGCGAGGTTACAACAGCACGCCGTATCTCTGCGAAAACAAACTGGAGATCTCACACGCAGGCCGTTTGAAGGCAGCGTCTCAGGGACTCGTAAAAAAAATGAAAATAAATAAACAACAAAAAAAGCCGTTGGGCCGCGTTATTTTTTTTTTTCGGGAGCTTGTTTTAAAGAGCGCTCTCTCCGGCGACCGCGGTGACACTGCCATTCCCATGCCCTTACGAATTCTTTCCCTGGCTCCTAAAGACTATCCCAGAGTCCACTGACCTGCGTGGGAGTAAGGGTTCCTGTCGTGATCATTAGACATCTCCAGAGCTCTCAGTGTTTACCGCACTTATCATATCCCCTGGTTCTCCGGCGGGACCCTTACCCTCCCCAGACCTCCCCCCTCCCTCCCCTATTCACTTCCCATCTCTGCGTTCGGGTCATCAGCTGTAATAAATTCATGTGTGTGGTGGATGTAGAGCCTCTATAATCACGCACAGTGCATTAAATATATATATATTTATTCTGGTGAGAAAATTGCACAGTCTCTTTGAAAAAACCTGCAGTGGCTGTCGAGACGAGTGGATGTGGAGAGGAGAGGTCTCACTCTGTCAAGCGGAGACGGCCCTAAACACACTCTGGTTTGTTTTAAAGGGGACATAGTGATGGATTTGGCGGACGGGCTTTGGGTAGAGCTGTGGGCGTCTGGATTTCAAACATGGAACTTTGTAATGAAAGGCATTAAACGGTAATCCTGGCTCTTAAAATAGTTTGGTTTAAGTCACAGTCTAGTTTTCACCTGTTTGGGTTTTCAGAGGGAATGAGAGAAGAGAGAGAGAGACCAGTGGGAGAGGCCGGAAAGATTCCAGAGAGAGAAAGACCAGTGAGAGAGGCCGGAAATATTCCAGAGAGAGAGAGAGAGACCAGTGGGAGAGGCCGGAAAGAAACAAGAGAGAGAGAGACCAGTGAGAGAGGCCAGAATGATTCCAGCAAGAGAGAGACCCGTGAGAGAGAGAGAGAGAGAGAGAGAGAGAGAGAGAGAGAGAGAGAGAGAGAGAGAGAGAGAGAGAGAGAGAGAGAGAGAGAGAGAGAGAGAGAGAGAGAGAGAGAGAGAGAGAGAGAGAGAGAGAGAGAGAGAGAGAGAGAGAGAGAGAGAGAGAGAGTATTTAGGGAGGAACCAGAGAGAAAGAGGAGATAGACTGGGAAAGAGAGAAACCAGATGGACTAGAGGGAGTCTAGACCAGACCAGGGTAAGATTAGGGAGAGACCAGAGAGCGAGAGAGAGAGAGAGAGAGAGAGATTAGCAGCAGAGGGCCACATGGAATGACAGAGAGGGCCTCCATCAGAAAAAAACCTTTGCATGTAAATACAGTTTGTTACAAATTTTGATGGAAAAACCACCCGAAGTGACACTTGTTGTTTACGGATGCTCCACTCCTGCTCCCAGAACACTCACACTTCTAACTCTTACCGTTTTGTCAAACACCCGTCCTCCGAGAGCCCGACCTGCGCAGATACGGCTTCATCTGTTAATCGACCGTCAAACTCCAGCCTTGACCCTTCCCTCCCCTCTCCTCCCTCACCCTCCCTCACCCCCTGGAGCCCCACGGTGACGGTCACTGAGAGGTGAAGCCGGGCTGTCCGCACTCGAAAGCCCCCCCCCCTCCAGGGACCACACCAACCCCACGTCCTAGTCACCTCCTCTCCCACCTCGCGGACATCCTTTCAGGGCCGCTCCATTATGGCGTCTTCACCTCTGGTCCTGGCTGGAGAGTGCGTTTGTGTGTGTGCGTCTGTGTGTGTGTGTGTGTGTGTTACCTCCATAAGCCAAGGTGACTTCAGACGGTTCACTTAAAAGCCACGGTCTCGGGTGCAACACCAACAGGTCGTTTATTTACTGCTGCCGGTGTTTGGAAAATAGAGTGGAGAGCCTAGATTGCCTTTTCCTGGTCTCCCTGCAGACGCTACAGGTCTGCCTTATGTCATCTACTGCACGGGTTCCCAAAGTGGGGGGCGCGGGCCACTAGCTGGGGGTAGCATTAGAACCAATATCATAATAAATTACCCCTGTGATTCCTATTATGACTATATTCAGCGAAAGTTATGGATCATGGCCTTGGAAAGTTCTGACCCTAAAACCAACCACAAACACACACATACATACACACACACACACACGGTCACATAAAATAGGTAAAATCGGGACAATATATAAGTTGGAGTAAGCAGCTGGAGAAGCACCATCTTAGGAGCCATCTGCACCAGGAGCAAAGATGGAGTAGGGGCCCTAAATCTCCACCTGGTTGCTCTTTTCTCTCATTCCAAGGGAGACATTTCTTCTTCTTCTTGTAAGATTTTTGCTCTTGTCCCTTTGGCAAATCTTGTTTTATGGAAATTTAAAAAACTTGCTCAAAATACGATACATTTTGAGTAATTTCCGACTTATTTTTCACCTTTTTTTTCAGTGTAAGACTAGAACGACACATGGATGGGAGCTAAGGTACTCCATCTTTAAGCGTGCTTTTTTTGGTTCGCATTATTAAAACAATGTAAAACATTTCCAAATCTGACTATCCATGGCCCTCACCGTGTGATAAGAATTTACAAAATATTTCATTGTCGCATTTAATCATCGAAATTCATCGTTTTCAAGCAAAACCAATCAAGCAAAAAATAACAAAAATATGTGTTTTTAGCCAAACCCTTGAGTATATGTGAATCCACTTTGTATGCATGTGTTGACCTCTTTGCCTCCGTCCAAATTTAGTCGTCGTTTTTTTTTTTTTTTTTGTTACGCTGGACCAATCAAACCACTTTTTATTCCAGTCCCCAGCAGAGCCAGCAGCGCAGACCCAACCTGGACTACCGGGGAATTAGAGGCCTCGCTTCACTGGTAATTTGGCCTGAAATTAGAGGATAACTGCAACTTAAACAGAGGAAATCCTTTTGACTTCTCTTCTTTCTTTCTTTCTTTCGTTCCTTCTTTCTCTTTCCCCCTCGAGCCGCGCACCTACCTCACCGCCTCGTAATGAACAGCAGATGTTTCTCGGCCCTTTTTTCCCGTCGCGGCGAAACCTCTTGAAATTCTGTCATCATTCCGTCTCCCTTCGCTCCCGTACGTTTTAATCGCATTAGCGGAGAGATGCTAATCTGAGAACGGGCCAATGACGCGCCTCTCTCGCCGGGATTTAGCGCCGTGACGAGCTAGCGAGCGCTTTTTCCCCTTCCATTCTACAGCGCGGCTGCCACGAGACGGACCCAGACAACGGCGACGGAAGATGAAAGGGAGATTTCTCATGTGTGTGTGTGTGTACTGGCAAATTGTCAAGCTAACAGCGGTGTAATGCTAGCTCTAATAAGCAACATGCAGTATTTATGATCATAAACTAGGGGCAGGGAGGGGGGATTTGACAGCAAGAGAAAACATATCAATCTTTCGCAGCTGCGTGTCGGGTTGTTAACTAATACTCTTTCTTCATGTTTGCTCTGTGATGTACAAAGAGGAGAAAAATCACATCAGAAAGTCAGAGATCGCCTAAAACTTGTCTTAAAAATGCGGCAATCAAAGGGAATATCAAAGTTTGGGAGAGAGTCCAGGGAAAGTGAATATTTGTGTTTTTACTCTGGACCAGACCAGCGGGAGAGACTAGAAAGAGAGAGAGAGTCAGAGAGAAAGAGAGACCAGAGAGTGAGGCGTGAGAGAGACCAGAGAGAGACCAGAGAGAGACCATAGAGAGACTTAAGAGTGATCAGAGAGAGATGAGAAAGCTAGATGAGAGAGCCCCCATAGAGAGAGACTAGATAGAAAGATCAGATAAAGAGACTAGAGAGCAGAGAGAGACAAGAGACAAGAGAGAGAGAGACCAGAGAGAGAGACTAGATAAAAAGACCAGAGAGAGGGACTAGAGACAAGAGAGAGATCAAAAGACCAGAGAGAGGGACTAGAGACAAGAGAGAGAGACCAGATGGAAAGATCAGAGAGAGAGACCAGAGAGAGAGAGACCAGATGAAAGACCAGAGAGTGAGACTTTGAGACCAGAGAGAGAGAGAGAGACACGAGACCAGAGAGAGAGACTAGAGACAAGAGAGAGAGACCAGGTAGAAAGACGAGAGAGAGAGGCTTGAGACCAGCGAGAGAGAGACACACACACAAGACCAGAGAGAGTGACCAGAGAAATAGTAGTTTTTTTCTCTAAGGAATTGCTCCAAAGAAAGGCAAAGTCTAAGGTGCGCAGAGAGGTGGAAGAGAAGCCGAGAGTCGAGGAGAAACGAAAAGAAGCGCGGCCCGTTTTGAATTCTTCATAAAGACATCGAGAATTCCGTGTGAATGCCGCTAACTTCTCTCCCCGCTCTGCGCAATTATGCATGTGTTGTTCATTTTGATTCGCCGCCATGAACCAGGCAAGGGGGGGGGCGAGAGGGGGGGGGGGTCACCAGGAGTTTTTTTTTTTTCGTGACATCACCGCGGCTTTGTACCTTTTTTACGGAAGCAGCAGGTGACCAGGCGCGCTCTCAATATTTCACCGGCCCCAGGAACGCACCCTGGAGGAGGCTTCTGGGTGAGGGGGGGTGAGGGGGGGTGAGGGGGGGGGGAGGGAGGGGGGAGCTAAAGTGCATGTGACACCAGTAATACGCTGATTAGCCGCCCTGGGCCACACTTCTAACGCCGCCAGAGTCCTTTCTTCTGCGCCGTGTCTGAAGCCGGCGGTCACCAGAGGGATGGGATACAGAGGAGCGAGAGGAGAGACAGGTCTTCACCGTCGCCATGTGAAGTTTTGGAACGTCGGGGGCCGAGGATGAGGAAGAGGAGGAAGAGGAGAAGGATGAGGAAGAGGAGGAGCTACTGGCTACTCCTCTGGTTTTTGCTTGGTTTTTTTGCATGGCATTTTTTTTTGATTTTCTCTACGTGTATGGGCAGGTAACTAGAACAGTAGCCACAGCTGCCCCAGGTCAGACTGACGGAAAAACGAGGCTGCCTAACTGAGCCACACACACACACACACACATGTGGTTTGCATCTAACTTTAGTCTCATTTCAAGAACTTTTTTATTTTTCTTGTTTCTCATTCCAAGGAAGAGATTTCTTGTATTTTTTTCAAACAAGTTCAGAAGAGGCTACTGGAGAGTCTAGTCTCTCTCTCTGGTCTCGTGTCTCTCTCTCTGATCTTTCCATCTGGTCTCTCTCTCTGGTCTCTTGTCTCTCTCTCTGATCATTCCATCTTGTCTCTCTCTCTTGTCTCTAGTCTCTCTCTCTGATCTTTCCATCTGGTCTCTCTCTTGTTTCTAGTCTCTGGTCCCGTGTCTCTCTCTCTCTCTCTGGTCTAAAGCCTATCTCTCTCTCTGGTCTCAAAGTCTCTCTCTCTGATCTTTCCATCTGATCTCTCTCTGGTCTCTAGTCTCTCTCTCTCTCTCTGATCTTTCCATCTTGTCTCTCTCTCTTGTCTCTAGCTTCTCTCTCTGATCTTTCCATCTGGTCTCTCTCTTGTTTCTAGTCTCTCTCTGGTCCCGTGTCTCTCTCTCTCTCTGGTCTCAAAGTCTCTCTCTCTGGTCTTTCATCTGGTCTCTCTCTCAGGTCTCTAATCTCTCTCTCTGATCTTTCCATCTGGTCTCTCTCTCTGGTCTCTAGTCTCTCTCTCTCTGATCTTTCCATCTGGTCTCTCTCTCTGGTCTCTAGTCTCTCTCTCTCTGGTCTTTCATCTGGTCTCTCTCTCTTGTCCCTAGTCTCTCTCTTGTCTTTCATCTGGTCTCTCTCTCTTGTCCCTAGTCTCTCTCTGGTCTTTCATCTGGTCTCTCTCTCTGGTCTCTCTGAGATTTTGTTTGTCTCATTTGCAACTCTTGTTTTAAGGCAGTCGTAATGTGCTCAGGTCTATATACTGCACTTTTTACCATTTTTTGGGTCATTTTTACACACTTTTTCACCCCTTTTCCACAGTTCGAGATCCCCAAAGGCCTCAGACCTGTCCCTCAGCAGCAGACTTTGGCTCCGTGTTTCTCTCTCTCTCTCTCAAACTTCCAGGTTGTGTGTGTGAGGCCCCTGACAGAACCACCACCGTGCTCTCCTTCGGGCTAATGACAGGTTGCGGGCGCGATGGAGACGATGTTCCGCGGCGGTTTGTGCTCGGCGAGATGTTTTCCGTGAATTAAAAGTCCACCGGAGCTCGTGTGAACGCCGCTCCTTCTCGCCGCGACGTGGAAAACAATGTCAGAGGAGAACAGAGCGAGCGAAGAGCTGGTTTTCACTTCAAGAGACTCGAGAATGTGCGGAATTTGATAGATTCAGGATCGGGAAACAGCCTCGGAAATGTGTTTTGTGGTTAAGGTGGACTGGAGAGATGGAGGTGCGGTGGGAGTGTGGCATCTGCACAGTTATGGCAGAGAAAGTGGATCTGAGCGTGCAAGCTTTCATGTGTTTTGTTGTTGTTAAGTAGTCGTTATATACAGTAGATAGTGGATTTTACCCACTGTAAAAAGTGAAAACAAAATATCGGTCAAAAATGGCTGGTCTCTCTCTTTAGTCTCTCTCTCTCTCAGCTCTATTTCTGCTCTAACTCTGTTCCCTGTCTAGTCTCTCCCTGTACTCACTCTCTAGTCTCTCTCTGGTCTCCCTCTCTAGTCTCTCTCTCTCTGATCTCTCTCTCTCTCTGGTCTCCCTCTCTAGTCTCTCTCTCTCTCTGATCTCTCTCTCTGGTCTCTCTCTCTAGTATCTCTCTGGTCTCTCTTTTTGTTCTCTCTCAGGCCCCTCTCTCTAGTCTCTCTCTCTCTGTTCCCTCTTTAGTCTCTCTCTCTCTCTGATCTCTCTCTCTGGGTCTCTCTCTGGTCTCTCTCTCTGGTCTCTCTCTCTGTTCCATCTCTTATCTCTCTCTCTCTGGTCTCTCTCTCTCTCTCTCTGGTCTCTCTCTAGTCTGCCTCTCTGTTCCCTCTTTAGACCAGAATAGACCGAAATAGACCCGAGCGGGAGAGACTAGAGAGAGGGACCAGAGAGAGACCAGCTTATGTCTCCCTTGAAATAAGAATAATCGGCTTTGACCCATCGGAGAATCTCGGAGACAGTCAGAATATAAAAACACCAGATTTAAACATTTTTACCTCATTTTTGGTCATGTTTTGCAGTGAGGACCAAGGTCACCCAAAGCCGTAGAACCAGTGCATAAGCCACACCGGCAACTTCTCCAGTCTCCACCAAAATTGGAAGTCTGCGATTGATTAAAAGTCCAAGTGTGTGTTCGTGCAGAGAAATATTGTAAGTTCCCAAAATATCCCAAATGTTTTGACCTCGGCTTGATTTTTTATGGATAAGTGGATTATATTTCCTCTGATTCCACTCAATAAGAAATCATCTCAGAAGTGAATGTCGTCTGCAATGAGAATGAATGAAAGAATGACAGAAAATGGGATAAAGATGGAAGAAAATGGACAAAAAAGAAGAAGAACAAGAGTGGTCCACAGGCGCTGGTGTTGTGCTGGTCTGCTGTCTGTGTGTCGGGGTCACTGTGACCGGGGACGAGAGAGAGACCAGAGAGAGAGACCAGAGAGAGAGACCAGAGAGGGACCAGAGACAGAGAAGAGGAAAATAGACTAGAGAGAGAGACCAGAGAAAGAGAGAGAGACCAAAGAGAAACCTGAGAGGGACCAGAGAAAGAGAAACGAGAGAGAGACGAGGGAGAGGGACTAAAGAGAGAGACCAGAGAGAGAGAGAGAGAGAGACCAAAGAGAGAGACCAGAGAGGGACCAGAGACAGAGAAGAGGAAAATAGACTAGAGAGAGAGACCAGAGAAAGAGAGAGAGACCAAAGAGAAACCTGAGAGGGACCAGAGAAAGAGAAACAAGAGAGAGACCAAAGAGAGGGACCAGAGAGAGAGACCAGGGAGTCAGGACAAGAGAGGGACCATAGCAGAGTGCATACTCACAGCGTGTCTCCAACAGCAGACCAGCGTGTCATGTGGGACCAGCTCTTTCACACTCTCTCCTGTCTCTCTCCAGTAACCTCTTCTGTACTCTCTCTCCATTAGCCTCTTCTGTACTCTCTCCTGTCTCTCTCCAGTAGCCTCTTCTGTACTCTCTCCCGTCTCTCTCCAGTAGCTATTTACTCTCTCTCCAGCAGCCTCTTCTGTATTCTCTCTCAAGTAGCCTCATCTGTACTCTCTCTCCAGTAACCTCTTCTGTACTCTCTCACGTCTCTCTCCAGTAGCTTCTCCTGTACTCTCTCCCCAGTAGTCCCTTCTGTGCTCTCTCTCCAGTAGCCTCTTCTGTACTCTCTTTTCAGTAGCCTCTTCTGTACTCTCTCCCCAGTAGTCCCTTCTGTGCTCTCTCTCCAGTAGCCTCTTCCGTACTCTCTTCAGTACCTTCTTCCGTACTCTCTCTCCAGTAGCCTCTTCTGTACTCTCTCCCTGTAGTCCCCTTCTGTGCTCTCTCTCTAGTAGCCTCTTCTGTACTCTCTCTCCAGTAGCCTTTTCTGTACTCTCTCTCCAGTAGCCTTTTCTGAACTCTGTCTCCAGTAGCTTCTTCTGTACTCTCTCTCCAGTAGCCTCGTCTTGTTACTCTCTCCTGTCTCTCTCCAATAGCTTCTTCTGTACTTTCTCTCCAGTATCCTCTTCTGTACTCTCTCTCCAGTAGCCTCTTCTGTACTCCTCTCTCGTCTCTCTTGTAACTTCTTCTCTACTCTCTCCCCAGTAGTCCCTTCTGTGCTCTCTCTCCAGTAGCCTCTTCTGTACTCTCTTTCCAGTAGCCTCTTCTGTACTTTCTCCCCAGTAGTCCCTTCTGTGCTCTCTCCAGTAGCCTCTTCCGTACTCTCTCTCCAGTAGCTTCTCCTGTACTCTCTCCCCAGTAGTCCCTTCTGTGCTCTCTCTCCAGTAGCCTCTTCTGTACTCTCTTTTCAGTAGCCTCTTCTGTACTCTCTCCCCAGTAGTCCCTTCTGTGCTCTCTCTCCAGTAGCCTCTTCCGTACTCTCTTCAGTACCTTCTTCCGTACTCTCTCTCCAGTAGCCTCTTCTGTACTCTCTCCCCTGTAGTCCCTTCTGTGCTCTCTCTCTAGTAGCCTCTTCTGTACTCTCTCTCCAGTAGCCTTTTCTGTACTCTCTCTCCAGTAGCCTTTTCTGAACTCTGTCTCCAGTAGCTTCTTCTGTACTCTCTCTCCAGTAGCCTCGTCTGTACTCTCTCCTGTCTCTCTCCAATAGCTTCTTCTGTACTTTCTCTCCAGTATCCTCTTCTGTACTCTCTCTCCAGTAGCCTCTTCTGTACTCTCTCTCGTCTCTCTTGTAACTTCTTCTCTACTCTCTCCCCAGTAGTCCCTTCTGTGCTCTCTCTCCAGTAGCCTCTTCTGTACTCTCTTTCCAGTAGCCTCTTCTGTACTTTCTCCCCAGTAGTCCCTTCTGTGCTCTCTCCAGTAGCCTCTTCCGTACTCTCTCTCCAGTAGCCTCTTCTGTACTCTCTCCCCAGTAGTCCCTTCTCTGCTCTCTCTCCAGTAGCCTCTTCTGTACTCTCTCTCCAGTAGCCTTTTCTGAACTCTCCCTCCAGTATCCTCTTCTGTACTCTCTCTCCAGTAGCCTCGTCTGTACTCTCTCCTGTCTCTCTCCAATAGCTTCTTCTGTACTTTCTCTCCCGTATCCTCTTCTGTACTCTCTCTCCAGTAACCCCTTCTGTACTCTCTCTCCAGTAGCCTCTTCTGTACTCTCTCCCGTCTCTCCAACACATTTCGGTGTGTGCATCCACCCCGCTCTCCTCTGTCCAGTTGGTGGCTCCATCAGGCTGGGAATAACGTTTGTTCTCAGCCCTTGAATAATTGAAGAGGAGCCGGGATCCTGGGGGCGGTGTGATGGAAGAGAGAGAGTTTCTCCGGGACTGCAGAGGTGGAGGTGAGCCGCCGTGTTTACCTTTAACGCACACACTCAGCCCCGCGGCCCGAGATCTGGAACTGCTGGAGCTTAGAGACCGAGAGAGTTTCAAAAGACACGACTGTAGAAGAAGACTGGAGAGAAAAATATAAAAATAAAAAATAAAACTGTGAGTTCTATGGACGATCGGGCACATATTTGGATCGGTCTCCTGTATGGGCAAATTCTTGGGAGACTTTGTTATTATATCTACAAGGTTATTTGCTTTTAACCCTGTAGAACCCAGAAAAATAAATATTTGTTGACCAAAATGTATCTGTGCTAATTTAAATTTGGGTTCGTGAGTACAAAAATTAGTCAATGCGTAAAACCAAAAAGTCGTCCTTCTTCTGCCATAACACTGGATCTACAGCCTCAGTCCTGGGTCTACAGCCTCAGTCCTGGGTCTACAGCCTCAGTCCTGGATCTACAGCCTCAGTCCTGGGTCTACAGCCTCAGTCCTGGATCTACAGCCTCAGTCCTGGATCTACAGCCTCAGTCCTGGGTCTACAGCCTCAGTCCTGGATCTACAGCCTCAGTCCTGGATCTACAGCCTCAGTCCTGGATCTACAGCCTCAGTCCTGGATCTACAGCCTCAGTCCTGAGTCTACAGCCTCAGTCCTGGATCTACAGCCTCAGTCCTGGATCTACAGCCTCAGTTCTGGGTCTACAGCCTCAGTCCTGGATCTACAGCCTCAGTCCTGGATCTACAGCCTCAGTCCTGGATCTACAGCCTCAGTCCTGGGTCTACAGCCTCAGTCCTGGATCTACAGCCTCAGTCCTGGATCTCAGTCCTGGATCTACAGCCTCAGTCCTGGATCTACAGCCTCAGTCCTGGATTTACAGTCTCAGTCTTGGATCTACAGCCGCAGTCCTGGATCCAAAGTTGCAGTTCTGGATCCACATCCTCACGAGGGAGGGGGAGAGGTGGCGGTTTCTCATAACCCGACACAAAGAGACAATTTTTCAGACAAACAAATACTGTTTGGAGTGATGGTTTTCCGTACGCGCCTCTTGCATATTTGCGTTGGGATATTTATCGGGAACTCGCCGCCGCAGACCGGTTAAATAAACAGAGCGCTTCATGAGTGCGAGGCCGACATGCATCCATGACAACAACCGGGAAACTTCAGATTTTACAACTTGTTAAAAGGTTATTTATACTTGTATTTGCATTTTATTCACAGGAAGAGAACACGGAGACATACTCCTGCATGAATGGTTTGTTTAGGTCTTTGATTGAAGATTACCTCCACGAATGGTTTTGGTTTTGTTTTGGCCAAACTGAAAGGAATGCAATCCCAATTTTGATGTTGACAGATTCTAAAACTAGACTCTGTTTTGGGCAAGTACCAAAACTAAAGAAAAATAATGTTTAGACTGAGACTGTAGATCCAGGACTGAGACTGTAGACCCAGGACTGAGGCTGTAGATCCAGAACTGAGGCTGTTGATCCAGAACTGAGGCTGTAGACCCAGGACTGAGGCTGTAGATCCAGGACTGAGGCTGTTGATCCAGAACTGAGGCTGTAGACCCATGACTGAGGCTGTAGATCCAGGACTGAGGCTGTAGATCCAGGACTGAGGCTGTAGATCCAGGACTGAGGCTGTAGATCCAGGACTGAGGCTGTAGATCCAGGACTGAGGCTGTTGATCCAGGACTGAGGCTGTAGATCCAGGACTGAGGCTGTAGACCCAGGACTGAGGCTGTAGATCCAGGACTGAGGCTGTAGACCCAAGACTGAGAATGTAGACCCAGGACTGAGGCTGTAGACCCAGGCCTAAAGAACAAAGAGAGAGACACTTACGTTACAACATTAGAACACAGGAAGTTCCGTGTGCTTTTACCCTCCCACGCGGGCTTACAAGGTGGCCGGGCGCTGCCAAGAATCCTCAAGGTGCGGTGTGGAAGCGGTGGGGGTCGGTTTGAAGCGGTGGGAGGCGTTTCGGGGCCGGAAACAGCTAACAGTGGGATAGTGACCTTTCCCAAACAGCTGTACTCTCTCAGGTGCATGTTCTCAGCGTATCGCCTCGTGCATTTTTTCCTCTTTCCCCTTTTTTCTTTTCTTCCTCTGCTCTGGAATGGGTCATTATTTGGTCCCGCGGGGCCAACAAGCAGCGCCGAGGAGTAGAGCGCAGGCAGGAAGCTGGACGGGACGCGCCGCAGCAGAGGAAGTTGCAGTTTTTATGGCGTTTTTGGAGCTGTTTAGTTCTGGCCTCTCTCATAACGAAAAAGAGCAAAGGTGGTTATATGATGGTTTAATAATGACATTTTTTGATTTACCTTATGTGAATACAGCTAGTCCATACTCTGTATTTAAACCAGACTGGTCCAGGGGCCGAAAACAGGGATTTAAAATTGCGACTGTAGACCCAGGACTGAGGCTGTAGACCCAGGACTGAGGCTGTAGACCCAGGACTGAGGCTGTAGACCCAGGACTGAGGCTGTAGATCCAGGACTGAGGCTGTAGACCCAGGGGCAGAAAACCCGAATTGAAAACTACTTTGATTGGATTCAGGTTGTTCTGAGCTATACAATCAGGACTGGGACTATACAATGTATCATTTTTATCATAGTTATTATTAAAATGGACTTAAGGTAAATTTCATATGTCAGTATATACTGTACAAATAAAGTTAAAAATAGATTCCAAAGGTTTTGAGCTTTTAGACATGTTACATACAGACATGTAAATGCCATGTGAACCAACTGGAACAGGGACTGGCGTCCTGCTGGTCCCAGAGTCAGGACTAAATACTCTGGAACAGTCTTCCTGAAAATGTGAGACAGGCTTTGACTTTGACAATGATTAAATCTAGGTTAAAAACTTCCTCTTGCTCCGGCTTCAGTTTCTTGATATTTGCATTGAACCAGATTCTTGACGTCACAGATACGACCTATAACACCCGCCTCTCCCACTCTCTGATTGGACGGAGGGGATTCAACCGAGGAAACTGCAGCCACTAGGATCCGACCCAGACGTACATGTTGGAAATGATCATGGACCAGAGTTCACACATGGTAAGACCAGGATAAACTTTTAGAGAAAGATTGAGGAAAGTGTCTCTGGCCTCGCAGTTGTTGAACCAGTAAAACACTTTTTGATGTCTGTAAATAAATAGACTGCAGTTTCAGCAACAAATAAGTAAATACACTGGAGAAAAGTTTATTTTCCTGCAGAAAGATTACATCATGTTCAGAGTGGTTTGTAAACTGACCTCCACGACCCTGTCTCTGCAGCAAACAACACACAGAGGACCAGTGGTCACCATGGGGGGGCTACTGCTACTGCTGCTGCTACTGCTGCTGCTGCTGCTGCTGCTGCTGCTACTGCTACTGCTGCTGCTGCTACTGCTGCTGCTGCTGCTACTGCTGCTGCTGCTACTGCTACTGCTGCTGCTACTGCTGCTGCTGCTGCTACTGCTGCTGCTGCTGCTGCTGCTGCTGCTACTGCTACTGCTGCTGCTGCTGCTACTGCTACTGCTGCTGCTGCTACTGCTGCTGCTGCTGCTGCTGCTGCTACTGCTACTGCTGCTGCTGCTGCTGCTGCTGCTGCTGCTGCTGCTGCTGCTACTGCTACTGCTGCTGCTACTGCTACTGCTGCTGCTGCTACTGCTGCTGCTACTGCTGCTGCTGCTACTGCTGCTGCTGCTGCTACTGCTGCTGCTACTGCTACTGCTGCTGCTGCTGCTGCTACTGCTGCTGCTGCTGCTACTACTGCTGCTACTGCTACTGCTGCTGCTGCTACTGCTGCTGCTGCTGCTGCTGCTGCTACTGCTACTGCTGCTGCTACTGCTGCTGCTGCTGCTGCTGCTGCTGCTACTGCTGCTGCTGCTGCTACTGCTGCTGCTGCTGCTACTGCTGCTGCTACTGCTGCTTTTACTGCTACTGCTGCTACTACTGTTAATGCTGCTACTTCTGCTGCTGCTGCTGCTGCTGCTACTGCTACTGCTGTTACTGGGAGAAAGTCATAAATTGTCTCTTTTTACTGTTACTTAGTCTGAATCTATAGCCTTGTTCAATCTATCCATCTGTTTTCTTCCCCTTTATCCGTTGCCGGGTTGCCGGGGCAGCAGTCCCAGCATAGACGCACAGACTTACTTTTACTTACTTTTTTCTCTGAATTCTGTTGCTTTGAATGGGAGCAGTCAAAATGATGGCTATGGGAGATCAAATACTCCGCACATAATTCAATCCATCCACTTTCTGCTGTGGTGTGAGTTAGGGGTGTCCAAACTTTTTAGTAATGGGGCCTCTTTGTTTCACCAGAAGTGTCCAAGGGCCTCTCACATAAATTATACAACTTTTTTGACTGAAGTAGAGTTCTGAGCTTTAAAAATGAGGTATGACATCAGAGTCGAAGTTGGCCTTAGAAATGTTCACAACATTCTGTGACACAATCCAAGACAAATGTCAGATGTACCATTAAAGTCAATGACTGGATTTCAGTGTGAGAAAAGGGAGAGTAAAAGGGGAGGAGAGGGTGAGGGGGGGGAGGAGAGGGAGGAGAGGGTGAAGAGAGGGTGAAGAGAGGGTCTGGTGTCAATATGGTGCTTATTTATTTGTTTAGCACAATTCATGCACACCGGCGGCAAAGAAACAGTCACATCAGGAAGTTAAGGAACCATACAACAAGCAGAGAAGACACACACACACACACAGACACACACACACGCAGACAGACAGATAGACAGACAGACAGACAGACACACACAGACACACACACACACACACAGAGAGACAGACAGACAGACACACACACACACGCAGGCAGACAGATAGACAGACAGACAGACAGACACACACAGACACACACACACACACACACACACACAGAGAGACAGACAGACACGCATACACAGAGACAGACACGCATATCAGACGGATAGAAACACACACAGACACACACGCATACACACATACAGACACACACTGACAGACACACATATCAGACAGACAGATACACACACAGACACACATAAAAGACAGACACACACACAGACACACACACAGACACACTACTGTAGTTTTCATAGTTTTCAAGAAAAGACAAGCATCACTTTCAAACTTTGAATGTGTATTTTCTTATAATAATACTCAATTCTCTCTCTCTCTCTCTCTCTCTCTCTCTCTCTCTCTCTCTCTCTCTCTCTCTCTCTCTCTCTCTCTCTGTGTTTTATAAAACATTTGTATCCGCTCGCCATTGTCTGGTTCCGTCGTCGCTGTCGGCCTGCGAGTATTCTCTAAACCAATTGTCAGTAATAAGACTTCAGCACATTCTGGTATGAATATGCATATTAATCTATACACACACACACACACACACACATACACCACGCACAAAAAGAGAAAGTTTTCATCCAATTACTCTTTTAAATCAGCAATAATTACAAGCCTATACATCATCTGCATATTTCAATTAATATTCAAATCTATTGTGAAGTGGTGCTGCATGCAGATGTACTCTAAGGCCAGGATTAGGTGTAAAAACGGGGAAGTCTCCAGCCCGTACCTTGGCTCCCACTTAATAAGCCGGGCTCCCTGGTAATGTTCCTGAACTTATTATAATGCAATCTGACCGGGCTTCGGAATCGCACACACGCCTAATATTATTTCTCGCAATTAAGAGGGAGACGGAGACGTGGAGAGGGCCTCGTTGGTTAATTTGCGGTTCCCGTGTAATGCAAAGCAGAGCATGGTAAACAGGTCCGCGGCGCGAAAACCACTCATGTGTGCCAAATCTCATTTAAATATACCAATTCTTTGTTTTGTCCGATTCTGGACACATCCCTGTAGAATGTGAATGTGTCCAATCGCCGGGGGACAAGCGCTTCCTTATTGGTGTTTTCACTGTTTCTCTTCAGACCCCTAAACACCTGCTTTGTATGGACGATAAACTGTATCCCTCTGGTCTCACTCTGGTCTCTCTCTCTGGTCTCTCTCTCTGGTCTCTCTCTCTGGTCTCTCTCGTGTCTTGCTCTATCATCTCTCCCGGGTCTCTTGGTATTGTCTGCCTCTCTGGTTTATCTTGCTTGTCTCTTGCTCTTGTGTCTCTCTCTATGATCTCACTCTGGTCTCTCTCTGGTCTCTCTCTATGATCTCACTCTGGTCTCTCTCTGGTCTCTCTTTGATCTTCCTCACTGGTCCCTCTCTCTATTGTCTCCCTCTGTTCTCTCACTTGCAGTCCGTCTCTCTGGTTTCTCTCTCTCTTGTCTCTTTCTCTGGTCTCTCTCTGGTCTCTCTCTGGTCTTTCTTTGGTCTTTGGTCTATGGTTTCTCTCTCTGTTGTCTCTGCTTTCTCTCTATCTAGTCTCTCTGTTCTTTCTAGTCACTCTGGTCTCTCTCTCTGATCCCACTCTCTGGTCTCTCTCTCTAGTCTCTCTGGTCTCTCTCTCTGATCCCACTCTCTGGTCTCTCTCTGTTCTCTCTCTCTCTCTCTCTATGATCTCAATCTGGGTTTCTCTCTCTCTTGTTTCTCACTTTGGTCTCTCTCTGTTCTCTTTTTCTCTGGCCTCTCTTTGATATCCTTCAATGGCCTCTAGATATGTATCTTGTGTTAAGAGAGGGCCACAACTCTCTCTGGTCTTTTGCTCTGGTCTCTCTCTCTCTTTCTGGTCTCTCTCTTTGTTTTTTTCCGTGGCTCTCTCAGTTCCCTCTCTGGTCTCTCTCTCTCTCTGGTCTCTCTTGGTCTCTCTCTGGTCTATCTTTCTCTCTGTGGTATCTATCTCTATCTCTTTGGTCTCTCTCTCTGGTATCTCTCTACAACCTCAGTCCTGGGTCTAAAACCTGAGTCCTGGGTCTACAGCCTCAGTCCTGGGTCTACAGCCTCAGTCCTGGGTCTCTACAGCTTCAGTCCTGGGTCTACGCCTCAGTCCTGGGTCTGCAACCTCAGTCCTGGGTCTACAACCTCAGTCCTCAGTCCTGGGTCCAAAGCCTCAGTCCTGGGTCTAAAACCTCAGTCCTGGGTCTACAGCCTCAGTCCTGGGTCTACAGCCTCAGTCCTGGGTCTACAGCCTCAGTCCTGGGTCTACAGCCTCAGTCCTGAGTCTACAGCTTCAGTCCTGGGTCTACAGCCTCAGTCCTGGGTCTACAGCCTCAGTCCTGGGTCCTACAGCCTCAGTCCTGGGTCTACAGCCTCAGTCCTGGGTCTACAGCCTCAGTCCTGGGTCTACAGTCAACCATCACATTTCTTAACATTTCCCTCTGGACCAATGGCTCCTGTGTTTGTTATTTCTTGTGTTGGAACAGTTTGATTCTCTGGTCCGTGCTTGGATCCACTTGGTTTCCTCTCACCTGTGTGCGATGGAGGGCTTGTGGCCGTCTCGGTGTCCCGGGATATCCTCGTGCAGATAGGCCAGACCCCGCGCCGCCGTTTGGGAGATGTGGCACAGCTCGGACCACGACACCACGTTGGCCTTCAGGTAGTCCGTCAAAGAGCCCTGAGGACACACGGACACAGCGGAGTCAGCAAACACACAGACTCCAGTTTCCACGTCTCGAAAGATCTGGGTTTTTGTCTCATGAGCAAACTGCAGAATCAAACATGTGGCCAGCGTCGGGCAGCCCTCGCATCAAAGTCTCCATCGTTTACAGAAATAGCGGCGGTTTGGGTGCTGGTGTGTGCGTGTTGCGTCAGGCTCTTACATAAAACATGCACAGAGGAAAAAGGAGGTCAGTTACAGTATGTAGGACACCAGCAGAGGCAGGGCTCGGCCACCAGAGGGCGCCACATAACTACAGGCGAACATGGAGCAGGATGTATAAACACACACACAGACAAAAATGCAGAAAGCTCATTTTTAACACTAAACAGAGACAAAGATGGAGGACACACTGCCACACAGCTACATACATTAGAACAGGCGTGTCAAACTCAGGCCCAGGGGCCAAATCCGGCCTGCGGCATCTTTTTAGTGGCCCCTAAAATAATTGTTAATTATCTTTATCACAGTAACTTGCAGCATTGGTGTTATTGTCTACTATGGCATGTTGTACTTCATTTTAAAGCCTATTATTGCAGAAACAGCCATGCAATCAAATCTGTTCTAAAGGGTTACCGGAAATGTAATCAGAAGATATTTCTATTTCTATATTTATCAGATTTCACATCTTTTTTGCCCCGCTCTCTCATTTTGGGCCCAGTTGTGGTTGAATCCAAACCTACTAGAAAATAATATCCACATTTGTGTTCAATACAGTTACATTGTTTATTTAAAAAGACAAAAAATTATAAAGGTAAATACTTTTTTGCTTCTGGCCCCAACAAACTCTTATGTTTTTAAATTTGGCCCCCGACTACATTGTTTGACCCCCCCTGCATTTGAAGAAGGCCCTGTCTTATTGTGCTGGTAGTGACTTTGGACCTAACCCTCCTTTAAAATTTTCTTTACGCAGATGTGTGAAAGCAAAGTCGAAGGCGTCTCTTTCACTGATACATATTTAACAGTTCACACGTCTGTGGCTAAAAAGAGCTTTTAGAATTCTGGGTTCTGTCCTGGACCTGAGTGTTTGTTTTTGGATTTATTCCACCGCTCAGGGATAAAACCATTCTGTCCAATTTCAGATTTTTTTCAAATGAGAGAGACTAGAAAGAGACCAGAGACTAGAAAGAGATTAAAGAGAAACTAGAGAGACCAAAGAGAGACCAGAGACTAAAGAGAGACCAGAGAGAGACCAGATAGAAGGAGACTAGAGAGAGAGAGACCAGAGACTAAAGAGAGACCAGAGAGAGACCAGATAGAAGGAGACTAGAGAGAGAGAGACCAGAGAGAGACAAGAGGAAGAACAGGGAAAGACCAGAGAGAGACCAGGGAAAGACCAGAGAGAGACCAGAGAGAGACCAGAGAGAGACCAGAAAGAGACCAGAAAGAGACTAGAGACCAGAGAAAGACCAGAGAGAGAGAGACAAAAGACCAGCGAGAGAGACCAGAGGAAACAGGGAAAGACCTTAGAGACCAGAGAGTGAGACCAGCAAGAGACCAGCGAGAGACCAGAGAAAGACCAGAGGAAGAACAGGGAAGGACCTTAGTGACCAGAGAGTGAGACCAGCAAGAGACCAGAGCGTGCGTTACCTTGTCGTGGTAGGTGGTGATGAGCCAGAGCTCCAGGTCCAGGTTGTGGTTTCTCTTCTCGACGCCGATGAAGTGCAGCAGGTTGTCGTGCTTCATGCCGCTGAGGCTGTAGATCTCGTACTCGTTCTGCCACGAAAGCTTGTCCTGCGGCGGCGGAAACGGTGACGGTCAGTGTCAGTTTAGGACTTGCATCAAAATGTTAGGGCAAGTTTAAACTGGGCTTTTGGAAGATTTTCCTTTAAAGTCCTGCGTCTGTGGTTTATTTGGCTTCAACCACGTTGTCCAAAAAGATGCTAACACCTGGATGGGGCTAACACCTGGATGGGGCAAACACCAGAAATGGGGCAAACACCACCTGAATGGGGCTAACACCTGGATGGGGCTAACACCTGGATGGGGCTAACACCTGAATGGGGCTAACACCTGGATGGGGCTAACACCTGGATGGGGCTAACACCTGAATGGGGCTAACACCTGAATGGGGCTAACACCTGAATGGGGCTAACACCTGAATGGGGCTAACACCTGAATGGGGCTAACACCTGGATGGGGGTTATACCGGGATGGGGCTAACACCTGGATGGGGCTAACACCTGGATGGGGCTAACACCTGGATGGGGCTTAAACCTGAATGGGGCTAACACCTGAATGGGGCTAACACCTGGATGGGGCTAACACCTGGATGGGGCTTAAACCTGAATGGGGCTAACACCTGGATGGGGGTTATACCGGGATGGGGCTAACACCTGGATGGGGCTAACACCTGGATGGGGCTAACACCTGGATGGGGCTTAAACCTGAATGGGGCTAACACCTGAATGGGGCTAACACCTGGATGGGGCTAACACCTGGATGGGGCTTAAACCTGAATGGGGCTAACACCTGAATGGGGGTTATACCGGGATGGGGCTAACACCTGGATGGGGCTAACACCTGGATGGGGCTAACACCTGGATGGGGCCAACACCTGGATGGGGCTAACACCTGGATGGGGCTAACACCTGGATGGGGCCAACACCTGAATGGGGCTAACACCTGGATGGGGGTTATACCGGGATGGGGCTAATACCTGGATGGGGAAGATCTTGACGGCCACGTAGTCGTTGAGCAGCTGGGCCTTCCACACGCAGCCGAATCGCCCGCGGGCCTTCACCTCGATGAGCTGCAGCGGCTTCTGTCCCAGTGTGGGGGAGGGCGGGGCCGGGCCGGGGTCCTGGGGGAGGGGGGACACAGGAGAAGAGCAGTGGTCAACCAAGAGGTCTGTGGGGAGCGGCCCGTGGAGAGACATGCAAGAACAACGCTCCCTGTGCACGGTCAAACACTGATAAAGGTTCTTTCTGTCGATCGGGTCGTTTGTGATGATGCGACTCGTAAAAAGTGATGATATGCGTGTCCGAGATATAGTAATACCAATAATAGATATAGTAATACCAATAATAAAACACACATAGAGGACGCAGGGTTTAAAAACTTAATATGCCGTTATATTCCAGCGAGTATAGTAACTCAGGAGCAAAATACAGACCTTTTAGGGAATGATAAACTAAGACCAGACACAAGACAAAAGAGAGAGCAAAGAGAGACCAGAGAGAGGGTTCAGAGAGAGACCAGAGAGAGACAAGAGAGAGAGAGACCAGAGAAAGACCAAAGAGAGACCAAAGAGAGAGACCAAAGCGAGAGTCCTTGCACTGCGATGCACACAAGCAACAAAAGTTTTCTTCAGGTAATGGTCGTATCGTGCTAGCCGTTACACGAAGCTGTTGGCGTATACACACGTGGTGCATAAGAAGCACAATAAAACAAACAGTTGCACACACAAAGATCTGTGGAGCAGGGAAACGTGAACACGTTTTAGCGAGGGACCGGTGTATTTTAATTTAGGCTAGTTTTAAGTTTGTGCAGGAGACATTTCAGAGATTTAGCTTTTGTCTTTTTTACTATGATTTTAGAAAACTAACCTCAACCCCCTGAACTTGATTTTAAAAAGGTTAAACATGAACTAAAGCCGTTACATGAACACGGTTAAGTTAACCGCTAAATGTGAGACGCTCGAAATGTAATACTTTTGTTGCATAATTTACTGCGTGAAATGAGGAACTGTCAAATTGACTGCTCTTAAGGCTTTTCAGCTCCACAAGGCTGAAAACCATAAGAAATCCCTGAGATCAGCAAAGAGACGCATGGACTCGATACTGGATGCACGGGACATCAGCGGCAGTGGGAGGGGTGTGTGTGTGTGTGTCAGTGTGTGTGTGGGCGTGCCTGTGTCAGTGTTGGAGTGTGTGCGTGTCAAGGTGTTCATGTGTGTGTGGGCATGTTGGATGTGTGTGAGAGTGTTAGGGTGTTCATGTGTGTGTATGCGTGTTCGCCTGCTTCAGTGTGTGAGCGTGTGTTGTGTTGGATGTGCATGTGTGTGTGTGTGTGTGTGTGTGTGTGCCTGTGTCCGTGTGAATGTATGTGTGTTCGCCTGCTTCAGTGTGTGTGCGTGTGTTGTGTTGGATGTGCGTGTGTGTGTGGGCATGTGTTGGATGCGTGAGTGTGTGCGTGTCAGGGTGTTCATGTGTGTGTGAGAGTGTGTTGGCAAGCGCGAGAGTGCGTGTATGTGCCTGTGTCAGTGTGTGTGTACAAAGTGTGAGAGTGCGTGAGTGTGTGTGTATTTTAACGCGTGTGTGTTTTTGTGTGTAAGTGCGTGTGTGTGTGTGTGGTGGAAGTAGGTTAAACCCAGCTGTGCAGCAGGATTACAACGATCGGTTTTCAACTCACATGAGAAGAGAGAGATGGGGGAAAGCAGGGGGAGGGTGCTCAGTGGGGGAGGGGGGACGTTTTCCCGTTAGAACATCTCTTGCCTCAATCGTCCGGTCGAACTCACGTCACAAAAAGAGGAACTATACCCAGACTGTATGACTGTCACCAAGAACTACTGGAAAACACTGAGAAAACGCTTATTGCTCTTTGGTCACAGTCGTTAAAGATATTGGGAGTTTCTTTCAATGGCGGCTGAATTCATAACTGTAAAAACTCAAAAGGAAAAAAAAAACGTCATAAAATTCATCCAACTAGTGTCTGTATGTGTAGTCGGGCTTCTGTCACTTCTTCAAATCAGCTTCTAGACAGACGTACAGAGCGTATATGAGGAGTGGACTGAGTGTGACATCACCATAGCGTTTGCCTTAATGCAGAATATGCTGAACACAAGCTAGCTGGAGTCAATTTCCTTCAATATGAGCATTTGCCCCCGCGGCAGGGGTAGACGTGGAGATTCCCCCGTGAATGAAGGCCTCAGATTGCTCAGTCCTTGCATGACTCCCATCTGGATGACACTACCACAAAATAAACACCAGGATCACAGAGAGCACTAAACTACAGATTCAAGCCCAAAACGGAGGGAGTGACACAAACTGTTACTGAGCTGGAGGAGTTTAGTTTTACATGCGAGTCAAAAGGAGCCAGAGAGTTGGAGCTAAACTTCGCCATGAGCACTTCCCAATTGCCCATCTCTCAGCCCAAAGGGTCAAACAGTGACTCACTTGACAAGATTTCTGATCCTTTGCAGACTAGTGGCTTAACGTAGAATACATAGAGTACAAGGGACTGGCCTCCTGCTGGACCCAGAGTCAGGACTAAACATGGGGAGGCTGCATTTCAGATTCATGCTGCTAAAATCTGGAACAATCTTTCCTAAAGTGTGAGACAGGCCTCTTCTCTGACAATGTTCAAATCCAGGTAAAAACAGTCCTGTTTAGCTGTGAATACAACTTTATATTTTTAATCTTTCTTTTTCATGTACTGTGATTATTAAGGGATTTAATGCCTTGTGTTACTGTTTCTATCTTGTTTTGTTCAGCACTTTGAGTCACCGTGAGTGTGAATTGTGCTATACAAATAAACATGCCTTGACTTGCCTTGTAATGGAACACAAAGAGAGGACCGCAACAACACATAATGAGCCGTAGAACTGTCATAAAAGCGGAGAGTGGAGCGTTCTTCTGAAGGGGAGGCTCGGGCTGTGACACCGCAGCTGTGTACAGGTCAGAGTGACACTGAGCCATGTGTCATTGTTTTTGTTCCAAGACTATTTTTAAAAACGCTCATGAATGTAGTAGCGGTGACACTTATGTAACTGCACCACTTTAAGCTATTTTTATTTATTCATTCCGTGTTGGCAGGGTTTGTGGTGCTTTCATAGAGGATGTAAGAGAGACTGAACACAAAAACAGCCTCGTTCCTGGGTCTACAGCCTCGTTCCTGGGTCTACAGCCTCAGTCCTGGGTCTACAGCCTCAGTCCTGGGTCTACAGCCTCAGTCCTGGGTCTACAGCCTCAGTCCTGGGTCTACAGCCTCAGTCCTGGGTCTACAGCCTCAGTCCTGGGTCTACAGCCTCAGTCTTGGGTCTACAGCCTCAGTCTTGGGTCTACAGCCTCAGTCTTGGGTCTACAGTCCTGGCACTGAGGCTTAATAAGAATTTTAATTTCAAGTATGTTTGTTTTGTGTTGAATGGCATTACAGACATAACATAAACAACAGTACTTAAAACAAAGAACTCAGACTTGTAAATGTAACCAGTGGCTCGTGCCGGTCTCAGTCCTGAAGCTGGTCCGTGGTGGGGCCGTCCCGGGGGAGACACTGGATATTTGCCCCATGGTGGGAGAGCGTTTGGACAAAGGGGGGAGAGGGAGAGGGAGAGGAGGAGGGGGGAGAGGCCTGTATTACCCCTGAGTCAGCACGCCGCAGGAAACAGGATCTCCACCGCCGCCGTGTCGCGTTACAGTGTCTTGGGACGCCGCAGATCGCCCGCTATTTTGATCGCTGTTTGTTTTTCACTCAAACCGTTTCAAAGTCACAGACAGAGCGAAGGATTTGCCCGTGCTTCTGAGTAATAAACCACAGCATAAATGATATTTGGCTTCAAAGTCTTCAACCCCTGGACTAGAAGCCTTCGGGCCCTGCGGTCTTTACAGCGATGAGCCCCTTCCATGTATTTTAATTTGTTACCGCACAGCTGGACACAGCTTCAATCAGCTATTTATTTGTAGAGCGCCTTTCATACACAGGGCACAACACAAAGCGCTTCACAGTCCACATCACCCAAATCATCACATAAAACAAACACCAGAAACACAATTAAAAAACTTTAAAATCACACAAGAAATTAAAACCATTAAAACTTTAAAATTACACAAGGTATTAAAAAAATATTAAATAAATAACCACAGTGCATTTAAAATGGAGATACAATCCTTCAGTTGTATGCACAGGCAGCACAGTCTTTAACCTGGATTTGAACATTGTCAGAGAGGAGGCCTGTCTCACATCTTCAGGAAGATTGTTCCAGATTTTAGCAGCATGAATCTGAAAAGCAGCCTCCCCATGTTTAGTTCTGACTCTGGGCACTAACAGGAGTCCAGTCCCTGTGCTCCTCAGAGTCCGGGCTGGTTCATATGGGACTGACATGTCACTAATATATTTTGGTACGAGGCCATGGAGAGACTTGTAACAAGCAGAGCTGTTTTAAAGTCTATTCTCTGAGCCACAGGAAGCCAGTGCAGAGACCTGACAACTGGACTAATGTGGTCGTACTTCCTGGTTCTAGTCAGGACTAATGTGATCATACTTCCTGGTTCTAGTCTAACCTACTGGAGACAAATGCATGGATAAGAATCTCCAGGTCTGCTTTAGACACTATATTTCTAACTATGACAATGTTCTTCAGATGATAAAAGGCTGTTGATGTTATGTTAACTCATATTTATCACTGTGTTTAAGTCTCGTCTTTAGATCCAAATATTTGCTCCAGCTATTTTTCATCATTTTTTTGTGTTGATTTTATCCTATTTGATTTTTTATGATCTTCTTGTCTTTCTCTGGATTCGTTGTTTTCTTCCTTTCTCTTTGTGCTAGGTGTAGTAGTAGTTTATTTTCTTCTGCCTAAAGGTCCATTAAATCTTAGGTGTGTTTTAAATTTTTTTTGTAAACATTCTCGAAAGGTCGAGAATGTGCTGCATTCTGGTGGTAGCCAGGCACAATGTACACAAAAATTAAAGAAATAAAAAGAAGGGAGAAAATAAAAACAAATACATGAATGTGCACACGGACATTTCCTAATTATTTTTTATCCATTAACAAATGTTGATTATTCATACATGAACATAAATATAGTATTGTGTTACTTATTCATTATTATTATTATTATTATTATTATTATTATTATTATTATTATTATTATTATTATTATTATTATCATTATCATTATCATTATTATCATTATCATTATTATTGTTATTATTATCATTATTATAATTATTATTACTTATTCAAAGCTTTTTCAATGATCTTGCGCTTATTGAAACTGTTTTAGTCCATTTCACGGTGACAATTGTTTCCTGTTTTGTTTTATTTCTGTAACTTTTACCTTGTTTATGCATGTACTTGTGTATTCTAATGTGGTTTTACTGCAAATGTCAAATATATTGAATGTCATGACCTAATCATTAACAAATCTTATAAATTGCCACCTCTGTGACAATATTTATTTTCATTATTACATATTATAATAGATAAATACAAATACATACATTTTAAAGTCCAGTCCAGTGATCCTCCACAAACTAGTAAAGTCTCCCTGAAGCCTTGTGTGTGTGTGTGTGCGTGCGTGCGTGCATGTGTGTGTGTGTGTGCGTGTGTGCGCGTGTGTGTGTTGCGTCTGTTGTGATATTTCTGACAACACACTCTCTCTCCCTTCTCTGCCAAGACTATTCACGTATCCCTAATTTGCCTCATTGTGAACGGTGTCATCTGATTGGCCGGGACTCGTCACTGCCCGCCGGCTCCGTTCAAACCCAAGATCCGGTTGCATTTGTAAAGTTATTCATGTGGGTAAGTGTGGCCTTTGAGTGTCCTGCCGACGTCACCGGCCCCGGGGCCCCGTTACAATCAGCCTGACATGATCTGACCTTTGATTGGTCCCCGGGGGCCGCTCATCAGAGGCTTATTAATACATGAATTCATACATGATTTTCTGTGTGGCAGCGAGGAGGGCAGAGGAGCAGGTGACTGGGGCCGATTTTGTTCAACTATATCTGTTTTGTTGAATATAATTAGTCATATTTTAGGAGCCGAACTGTTTATCTTCTTCTATGTGAAAAATAGTGCAATTTGAAGAGATTTTATTGTATCATTGATATCTGGGATTTATGTGACTCTGTGTTTATAATTTATGTTGTTGTCGAGATGTATAGCTTTACTTTGTTTACATCCAGCCCAGACTTATGAGCAAGGAGAGCCTCTTCAATCTACAGCCTCAGTCCTGGGTCTACAGCCTCAGCCCTGGGTCTACAGCCTCAGTCCTGGGTCTACAGCCTCAGCCCTGGATCTACAGCCTCAGCCCTGGATCTACAGCCTCAGTCCTGGATCTACAGCCTCAGTCCTGGATCTACAGCCTCAGTCCTGGATCTACAGCCTCAGTCCTGGATCTACAGCCTCAGTCCTGGATCTACAGCCTCAGTCCTGGATCTACAGCCTCAGCCCTGGGTCTACAGTCTCAGTCCTGGATCTTCGGCTTCATTCCTGGATCTACAGCCTCAGTCTTGCAGTTCCTGTGTTTAAATTATTTGATTCTCTGATCTGTTGTTGGTGAATTCACAACTTTGCTCTCCAAAATGACTGCTTTTGTTATATGCAGCTGCACAAAACACCTGGAATATCTTGTTTCAGTCAAAATGTATTGAAGACCGAATAAGACAAGATAGACTTTTTTGATCCCCTTGTTTGAAGGATGGATTACATTTTATTGTCTATATTCTGTGCAGTGTGTGTTTCCTTTCATCTTGTATAACATCAACAACTTTTTTAGGCGACAAACACCAAACAACCCACACAAGTCACAAAACCCACGTCTCCAAACCCGATCTCGCGGTCAAACTCCCATCTGGATTGATGCTGCCTCGGCCTTCAGCGCTCAAGGCGGACCCCACGGCGCGACAAATAGCTCATAGATCGCGCAACGCTTCCGGTGACCGCTTCCCAAACAACCACAATTAAGCCTCACCTGCGCCTCCCCCTAAAGCTGACACCGAGCCAGGAAAAATGACTCGGCATGGATTAGTGATAGCCTTTTCAGTATGAGACCATTTAAAACGCTGTCCGGCGCGCTACCATTGACCCCGCGGTTCACTTCGGGGACTCCGCACCACTCGATTGTTTAGACAAAGGTGAAATGTTTATTCCTATTAGCTGCTTCCTCGGATACCGTATTGACCTGCGGCGTCTGATGGCCGATCACAAATTGCGGTTGGAGTGTGCGCCGTTGCGGGCCCGCGCTAGCTGCACCTCGGCGCGGAGAAATCAATGTCACATGTTAGGTAAGACGTCGGCGGTGGCGGCTTCGGGGACAGGCGCGCTTGTTTAATAAGACCCTGAGCTGCCTGGATCAATGCGGGACTTCCATCGGGTCGCCGTGGGGATCGATGGTGGAGGCTTGACGCAACAGGGCTGATCCGCAGAGAGGTTTGGTCGGGTTTTGGCAGAGAGTAGGGAAGGGATGTGCTGGAAGAAGCTAAAGCTATTGGGCAGTTTTGCAGTGGGAGGGGCGTGAGTCTACAGGCTGCACATTTCTGCTGCTTTATTTTTGAGTTATTTTTTCTCTCTGATCCACTTGGTTTGGACCATGAATCTGCTCTGGTCTGGACCCGTGAAAAACCATGAACACTGTACTGCAGCAACATCTCAGGCAAAAAAAGTAAGAAAAAAATAACAATTGTAAACACAAAACAACTGTTTCAGAGCAAATTAGGATTTTCTGTAGTTTCCAGTGCATTTAAACGTAAACCATAATTTAGTTCAACTTCTACAGGTTTTCATTTTGTTCAGGGCAGTTATTGGTTCATTTAAGTTTGAACAACAGTATTTAGGTTATTTAAAACTCCTCGCTCTTGCTCATGTCACTAATGCTCTACCTGATATTTATCATTTATCATCAAGTATCCAAATGTCTTTATTGTTAATCAAGTTTTTTGTTTATTTAAATTTGTCTCTTTCTAAATATTTAATTTTAGCAGATGGCAGACAGGGGGGCAAAAAAGATATTTTGAATTATTATTTCATTATTAGCATTATTATTATTTTTATTATTATTTTATTTCATCGTTATCTTTTCTGCATGTGTTTATGTAATTATTTTCCTCAAAGATTCCCCAAATTTTAGGAAAGAACCGCCTTCTCCACTTTTTAAACAAAACTCTCTGGTCTTATTGGACGAGCACGTATAACCAGAATGATTGACAACTCTGAGGACCAATCATCTTGAAGTAGAAAAAATCCTTAATTTTCTTTGATTCTCTTTAAATTGTTATGTATGTTTGTTTGTATTTATGTTTAGGACCCCCTCTAAAAATGAGATGATTCAAGGGTCTTTCCTTTTTGTTTATGTTACATTTTACTGTAAAAATAATCAGTGATTATCCACGGTTATAATGCTACTTTTATTATGAAAAAATAGTAGCAAAAGGAGCTCACCATTCGGCAAATGTTGGAGACCCCTGGTGTAACGTATATCATACTTCCCCAGTCTGCCGAGTCCTGCCCGAGTCCCATCGACCCGCCCCCTGTCCCGCGCAGGCAGGTATGACTAACTACTATCTGACTCCCGGACGCCGTGCCACTCTTTTGTCATTTATCTTGCGGCGGGCTCTGGCTGCACTGCGGCGACAATCATTTCAGTGATCGGACCTCTGCCCACCCTGCTGTTACAAATGACCATCGATTATCAGGCTCTGCTGCTATCGACTGTCCCGCTCCTGCCCCGAGTGCCGCCACAGAAGCAGCCGCTACAGATGCTGCTGCCGCTACAGATGCTGCCGCTACAGATGCTGCTGCCGCCACAGAAGCCCCCGCCACAGAAGCCCCCGTCACAGATGCCACCACTACAGAAGCCCCCGCCACAGAAGCCACGGTGACAGATGCCACCACTACAGAAGCCACCACTACAGAAGCCCCCGCCACGAAAGCAGTCGTTCACCTATCCTCAAAGGTGCAAGAATACTAGTTTGAGGCACTTGTGAGAGCCAGATCACATCAGACCTCTGAAGCTAAGCAGGACAGGGCCTAGTTAGCACTCTGATGGGAGACCTCTGGGAACACTATGTGCCACAGTCGGGGCAGCTGCGTTGGTAAAGTGTCGAACTATTGCTATGTGTCCGCTTCTGACATCACCGTGTGTGGAGAGAATGGAAAAATAACGAGACTATGAACATTGTAAAGTACCTTGGGTAAAACAGACTAAAACAGAAATACAAAAGTGAAATGTTTATTGCGTTGTTCCGGAGGTGATAAGGAAGGGCTGCCACTAGTCCTAGCCCAGGAGCTAGGAACACAGGAGACAAAAAGGTGAGTATGCAAAAAAGGGGTAAGTATCAGCAGTATATCAAAAATAGCCGACTGAAAAATCACCGTGATAGAGACGAAACAATCTGGCAGAGTCTGTCTGGAGAGCTGGCTGGATGTAGGCTGCTTGATTGTTGAAGTGAGAGCAGGTGAGCAGCTCCAGACTCCACCCAGGTCCACACGCACACACACACACACACACAGGGAGGAGCAAGAGGCTGTGAAGACTAGTGACAGATGGGGGCGTGACAGTACCCCCCCCCCTAGGAGACGTCACCCGACGTCCGGCCAGGCTTGTCAGGGAACAACGAATAAAAATCCCGGAGGAGAGCCGCATCCAGGATGAAATGCCGAGGCACCCAGTACCTCTCCTCTGGACCATACCCCTCCCAGTCCACAAGATACTGGTGGCCCCTCCCACGACGCCGGACATCAAGGACACGCCGGACAGTGAAGGCGGGGTGGTCGTCAATGACACGGGCGGGAGGAGGGGGATCGGCCGGAGGGCAGAGAGGACTAGAAACTACGGGCCTCAACAGGGATACATGGAAAGAGGGGTGAATGTTCATAGACTTCGGCAAGGTCAGACGCACAACTGAGGGATTGATAATCTTATCAATGGTGAAGGGGCCTACAAACTTAGGTGCCAACTTGCGGGACTCGACCTGAAGGGGTAGATCCTTAGAGGAGAGCCACACTTTCTGTCCCGGCTGGTAAGAAGGCGAAGCCACACGGTGGCGGTTGGCAATCTCCTGATTACGGATACCTGTGCGTCGGAGAGCCGCCCTGGTCACCCTCCAGATCCTGCGGCAGCGACGCAGATGGAACTGAACCGAGGGCACGGCAACTTCAGTCTCCTGGTCAGGAAAAAGAGGGGGCTGAAAACCCAAGGAGACCATAAAAGGGGACATACCCGTGGCAGACGTCACCAAGGAGTTATGGGCGTACTCCACCCAGGGCAAAAACGAGCTCCAAGTAGTTGGATTTCGGGCAGTCACACATCGCAACGCAGATTCCAGGTCCTGGTTAGCCCTTTCCGTCTGCCCGTTGGATTGAGGGTGATAACCAGAGGAAAGGCTGACCGAAGCCCCGAGGGATTGACAAAAAGCCTTCCAGACCTGGGAGGAAAACTGAGGTCCCCGGTCAGAGACTATGTCCATGGGGATACCATGAAGACGAAAAACATGCTGCACCAGTATCTTAGCAGTTTCCAATGACGAAGGTAATTTGGGTAGGGGAAGAAAATGCACAGCCTTAGAAAAACGATCCACAATAGTCAGAATAGTGGTATTACCGTCTGATGTGGGGAGGCCAGTGACAAAATCCACCGCAATATGTGACCAAGGCCGGCTGGGGATAGGTAGTGGACGGAGGAGACCGGCAGAGGGCCGATGACTGGACTTGCTGCGGCTACAAACGGTACAAGCAGAAACAAATGCACGTGTGTCACGAGACATAGAGGGCCACCAAAATCTCTGTCTGAGGAATGCCAGCGTCCGATGACTCCCAGGATGACAGGTTAATTTAGATGAGTGCCCCCACTGGAGCACCTGGGAGCGAACAGAATCTGGTACAAATAAGCGATTGGGAGGGCCACTACCAGGGTCAGGACTGGTGCGCTGGGCCTCCTTCACTACCCTCTCAATTTCCCACCCCACAGCACCAAGGAGCAAGGCCGAAGCACAGGACTTAGCTTCATTGTCAGCACTAATATTGAGACAAGAGGGAGGAAGGACGGGACCCGGTTGAGAATCCAGCTCCCCCTGAATGGACTGACGGGACAGAGCATCAGGTTTTATATTACGGGACCCTGGACGAAAGGTCAAAACAAAATTAAACCTCCCCAAAAACAGCGCCCATCTTGCCTGGCGGGAGTTCAATCTCTTGGCCGAATGGAGGTAGGAAAGATTCTTGTGGTCAGTCCACACGATGAACGGCTGCTCAGCTCCTTCCAACCAGTGGTGCCATTCTTGCAGGGCCAAGACAACAGCCAGTAGTTCCCGGTTACCAACATCATAATTGGCCTCAGCGGATGTCAACCTGCGTGAGAAATAAGCACAGGGATGTACCTTTTGATCTTTGGGACAACGCTGGGAAAGGACAGCACCCACTCCGGAATCAGAGGCATCGACTTCAACAATGAACTGTCTGGAAGGATCTGGGTGAGATAGGACTGGGGCTGTAACAAAAAGTTCTTTTTAGTTTGGAGAAGGAGGCGTCAGCATCACCAGACCACTGGAAGGGCAACAATGTGGAGGTCAACAGAGTTAGTGGGGCTGCTTTTCTACTGTAATCCTTGATGAATCTCCTGTAGAAATTGGCAAATCCCAAAAAACGCTGGAGTTGCTTTCGTGTCTCAGGTCTAGGCCACTCAGCCACAGCTCTTACTTTAGCCGGATCCGGTTTTAGGTGTCCCTGCTCAATGACAAACCCAAGAAAGTTTACTGAGGCAGCGTGGAATTCACATTTCTCCGCCTTCACAAATAGTTTGTTTTCAAGCAGTCTTTGAAGGACCAACCTGACATGTTCTACATGTTCCTCAGCATTCCTGGAAAATATCAATATATCGTCCAGGTAAACGAATACAAATCGATTGAGCATGTCCCGGAGCACATCATTCACCAGTGCTTGGAAAACCGCTGGAGCATTAGTTAGACCGAACGGCATCACCAGATACTCAAAATGCCCCAAGGGTGTGTTAAATGCTGTCTTCCACTCGTCTCCTTGGCGGACGCGAACTAAATGGTAAGCATTACGGAGGTCTAACTTTGTGAAAACGGTGGCTTGATGTAGAGGCTCGAAAGCAGAATCAATAAGTGGCAGAGGATATTTATTCTTTATGGTGATATCATTTAACCCTCTAAAGTCAATGCAGGGCCTTAACGTCTTATCTTTCTTTTCCACAAAGAAAAAACCAGCGCCAACAGGGGAAGAGGAGGGACGGATCAACCCGGAAGTCAGAGAGTCTTTAATATACTGTTCCATAGTCTCCCTCTCAGGACGAGAAAGTTTGTACAAGCGGCTAGTAGGCAAAGGGGCACCCGGAAGTAAATCAATAGCACAATCATAAGGGCGGTGGGGAGGGAGAGACAGTGCCCTTTCTTTACTGAATACTTGTGACAAATCATGGTACACGGAGGGAACAGCGGTCAGGTCAGTAAGGCTAGGAGGAGTGCCCTTTAAGCCCTCGCAAACAGGTATGGCCGACTTAAGACAATTAGAGTGACAGTGAACACTCCAACTGTTAATCTTATTGGACGGCCAGTCTATTTGGGGATTGTGAAGTTTTAGCCACGGAAGTCCCAAAACTACAGGAGCTAAAGGAGAAGAAATAACCAACAAATGGATCTCTTCCCGGTGATTACCCGAGAGAATGAGGATGACTGGTACAGTAATGTGAGTAATCTTGGCTAGGTGACTTCCATTTAATGCATTAACCTCCCTGGGGCACTCAAGTGGCTCAGTTGGTATGTTGGCTTCCAGTACAATCGTAGAGTCAATAAAATTATCGTCTGCGCCTGAATCGACAAAACAGTGGAGTGAAAGAGACTCACGGGACCAAAACATGGAGGCCTGGAGAAGAAGCCGGTCAGAAGACGGCTGCGGAGAGACAGTTTGGCTCACTAGGATCTCTCCAGTCACAGGTGAGCCTACTCTTTTGGCAGTCGTGGGCATGAAGTGACGTTATGCCCCTCTTGTCCACAGTAGAGGCAGAGACCAGACATCTGACGGCGGTGGCGTTCTGCTTGAGACAGCCGGGTTCGGCCTAGCTGCATAGGCTCCTCAGCATCAGAGGATCTAGAGTTTCGAGAAGGCATAGAAGAAAAACAAGTTGCAGGGGAGGGGGTAGGAGATGATGCTGGCGCATAAAAACCACCAGATGATGGCGGGCGTGGCTTTTCTCTCCCTGTGTCTTTCTCTGAGTCTATTATCTAGACGTGTGGCCAAAGAGATTAGTTCATCAAGGCTGTTAGTTTCATCTCTGGCAGCAAGCTCATCCTTCACGCTGTCTGCCAACCCTCTGAAAAATGCACTTTGTAGGGCGGTGTCATCCCAACCACTCTCATTAGCAAGGATACGGAAGTCTATGGCATATTGGGCAACGGAGGAGGTTCCCTGGTTAAGAGCTAGCATTCTCTTAGCTGCTTCTTTGCCCTTCACTGGGTGGTCAAATAGCTTACGCATTTCATTAGAAAAAACTAAATAGGAGCGAAAAATGTCTGAGTTGCTCTCCCATGCTGCTGTAACCCACTGAGATGCTTTTCCAGTTAATAAACTTATAACAAAGGCAATGCGAGACTTCTCTGATGCGTAAGTTTGGGGCTGCTGATCGAAAACCAGAGAACACTGGAGGAGGAACCGACCACAGGCACCAAGATCCCCCGCATATCGCTCCGGAGTGGGTATGTGAGGTTCACGTTGAGCTGGATGAAGAGCAGTAGGTGGTGGAGCGACTTGAGACTGGGCACCCGGAGACAGCAATGGTGGAGCAGCAGAGGCAGCAGCAGAAAACTGGGAAAAAGCAGTGGTTAGGTTTGAAAGCATGATTCCAATTTGAGTCATCTGGGCAGCAAAAGTTTGTTGATTGTGAGAAATCTCTTTCAGCTGGGTCTCGTGCTTCCCAAGTAGTTGGCCTTGGCTGGAAACAGCTTGGAATAAAGGGTTGGGTTCCGGTTGCAATGCAGTGTCCACTTCGAACAAATCGTTTGGGTCTGTTGGGTCCATGTTGGCCAGATTGTTCTGTTAACTCATTGTGTCCCATTGACGCATAAGTGCGTCAAAGCAAATAGTAACGTGGTGTGCCAATGACGCATTAATACGTCAAATGCCTTTTTTGCTATTTTCATGTTCCCAGATGTCTATTACATCTAATGTGAATGGGGATTACAATTAGAACTTATTTTATTGAGCCAGCAGGTGGCAGCAGCGCTGCGTCTAGATGTTTTGTAAACAGGATACACTTGTTGTGAGATCTGAGCACATGGTGGAGTAGAGCAGACAGACAGAGACAGAGAGAGATCAGTATGGATAAATCAGCGCATTACAAACAGCTCACGCTGGAACAAGTGTTTGGTGGCTCCAAGCAGAGGGTTTCTACAGCTGATAGTGGAGAGGGGGGATCGCGGCAGCCCAAAAAAGCTGCTAAAAAGTGCGCTCCTGCTGCTACTGCGCATGCTAGCGCGCAGCCTGCACCTGGAAGGAGAGGCCGTGTTTTGGCAAGGCAAGATGAGGATGAGAGCAGTTCGGAAGAATTCACTGAGCCAGACCCGGATTCTTCGTCAGAGTGGCTCCCATCTGGGTCTGCAAGCAGCAGAGAGTCCTCCCCTGACGCTTTTACTCGCGCGTCAAGCAGAACCACCGCCAGAGAAGGTAATGCAGACAAATAACATGAGAGAGTATAACATAATATAATTTTGCATTTCTAATGATAATTGTATATTTATTGTATATTTATGATAATTGTATCTATAATTTTGCATTTCTTATGATTATTTTATATTTACAGATTGTGGATCAAGGAAAGCAGCCACACCCAGGAACCCTGCTGTTGATAGAACAGGTAATATATACATATAATATATATAAATATACATAAATATGTGTAATATCTGTAATGTGTATAATCTATAAAATATGTGTAATGTATACAATATGTATAGTATATACGTGGATGCATATATATTTTAATCTTTCCATCTTATCTAAAGCCATAATAAAGGTATCATATTGTATTTTACAGCCTCTACATCGAGCAGTGTCACTGCCAGTGTCACATCTGCCAGTTCAGTTGGTGTGAAGAAGAGAAAAGGTAAAAATGTCTTTCTGCACATCACATCAAAGCACTCAAACAATATTTATGTTCATTCTTTGTATATATTTCAATAATGTATTACAGTTACAAAGAGTAAAGATGGCAGCTGGTCTAGGGATGACTGGAGACCAAAGGTTTTCCCCTTCACCTCCACACCTGGACCCCGGAATGCTGCTGCAGAGCTGGATTCTTCGCTGCCGGCTGACTTCCTGGAGCTGTTCATTACAGATGAGCTGCTCCGTCATATTGTTCAGCAGACAAATCTGTATGCCGAGCAATATTTTCAGGCACACTCAGAGATTGTGCCACACAGCAGAGGGCATGTGTGGAAACCGGTGTCCATCCCTGAGTTGAAAAAATTCTTTGGACTTAGCTTTTTGACCGGGTACATAAAAAAACCACGCCTGCCGATGTACTGGAGTGTCAACGAGATGGAGGCGACACCATATTTCAATCAGACCATGTCCAGGAACAGGTTCCAAATAATATGGAGGTTCCTCCACTATAACAATAACATGTCTGTTGATGCTATGGACAAGATGTTCAAGGTTCGCCCTGTCTTGGACTACCTTGTCCAAAAGTTCAAGGACATGTTCCAACCTGGGCAGAACATCTGCATTGACGAGGGGATGATGCAGTGGCGAGGACGGCTGTCCTTTAAAGTCTACAACCCCCAGAAGCCAGTCAAATATGGCATAAAATCATATGTCCTGTGTGACTCGGCCTCTGGGTACTGCTTTAACCTGCAGCCTTATGTTGGGGAACCACGTACCCTGCCCGAAATTGTTTTTTCCCTCCTTGATCGTCTCCCAGGTGCTGGACATACATTGTTTATGGACAATTTTTATAATTCCATTTCACTTTGTGAGCAGCTACAGGAGGCGAAAACCAATGTGTGCGGGACACTGAGGAGGAACCGGGGAGAGCCTCAGGTGATCAGGGATGTCACCAAGTCTGACCTGGGTGTGGGGGGGAGGCTTGTGTACCACAACAACAAGGTCATGGTGGTAGCCTGGCAGGACAAAAGGCTGGTCAGGATGGTGACGACCTGTCACCAGGACAACATGGAGAGTGTTGATGTGTGGCAGAGGGGACACCGGGAAAAGGTGACCCAGTTAAAGCCGGAGTGTGTTGTGGCCTACAATGCATCTATGAATGGGGTAGATAGGTTAGACCAGAACATAGCCTACTACCCCTTCGTCAGGAAGTCGCTGAACTGGTCGAAAAAGTTTGTCGCTTATTTGTTCCAAATCTCGATGTATAATGCTTTTATTTTATACAGAGCTAGGAACAGAGAGTGTACGACGCTTTTAGCGTTCATGCGGCAGGTGGTAAAGGTCCTGGACCACTAAACCTCATGTAGAGGAGGTGAAGGTGGAGGATGTGGAGGTGGAGGTGGGGAATGTGGAGGAGGAGGAAGTAGGTGTGGAAAGAGAGGCTCCACGTAACCCAAGGGCTCCCTACAAGAGAGACCCTGAGAGCAGGCGTGATGGAAGGATGGCGAGGCACAAGCTGGAGTACCTTCCCTCCAGCAGTAAGGCTAGACCCTCAAGGAGGTGTAGGGTCTGCGCACGCAAGGGCCTGCGCAGTGAGACCAGGCTGTGGTGCAAGTCCTGTCGTGTCCCTTTACATCCAGGAGAGTGCTTTACCGCCTACCACACCAAACAAAATTACACTGTGTAAACACACACACACACACACACACACACTGTGTATAGCGTTTACTGTATGTATTTTCTAAATGGTTGTCTTTTTTTGTGAACTTGTATTATACTGTATTTTGCAATCAAAAGCACTTTTATTTTTTGTTTTTGCTGTTTTATTTATAGGAACAATGTTTACAAGTTCAAAAAATGACAAAAGTAAAACATCTTTTTGTCAAAGTCACTTTTTCTGCATGGTGTGGTCATTTTCACATAAGTGTCTTTTTCTCAGCTTTTTGTCTGAGACTGGTGATTTCAGTAAAACTTCCCTTCACTCGACTGGGGATAACAGGGGAACAAAACAAGCTAGAAACAAATGAAAGTATGCTGATGAAAGTAGACAGTCCAATCTTTCAGAATCTGGTTTCGGATTTCAGATAGTCATAGTACACAATATTCTGTGGGTCTTGAAAAATCAGTAAAAATCATCAGAAATGGCTGGCACTGTGGGAGTACCTGTTCTGAAATAGGCTGGCATTCAATGAGTTAAGGCTTGGCGATAGGACCCAATAAACAGACTAAAACAGAAATACAAAAGTGAAATGTTTATTGCGTTGTTCCGGAGGTGATAAGGAAGGGCTGCCACTAGTCCTAGCCCAGGAGCTAGGAACACAGGAGACAAAAAGGTGAGTATGCAAAAAAGGGGTAAGTATCAGCAGTATATCAAAAATAGCCGACTGAAAAATCACCGTGATAGAGACGAAACAATCTGGCAGAGTCTGTCTGGAGAGCTGGCTGGATGTAGGCTGCTTGATTGTTGAAGTGAGAGCAGGTGAGCAGCTCCAGACTCCACCCAGGTCCACACGCACACACACACACACACACAGGGAGGAGCAAGAGGCTGTGAAGACTAGTGACAGATGGGGGCGTGACAGGGGGGCTACTGCTACTGCTGCTGCTGCTGCTGCTGCTGCTGCTGCTGCTACCGCTACTGCTGCTGCTGCTACTGCTGCTGCTACTGCTACTGCTACTGCTGCTGCTGCTGCTGCTGCTGCTACTGCTGCTGCTGCTACTGCTGCTGCTACTGCTACTGCTGCTGCTGCTGCTGCTACTGCTGCTGCTGCTGCTACTACTGCTGCTACTGCTACTGCTGCTGCTGCTGCTACTGCTGCTGCTGCTACTGCTGCTGCTGCTGCTGCTGCTGCTACTGCTACTGCTACTGCTGCTGCTACTGCTGCTGCTGCTGCTGCTGCTGCTACTGCTGCTGCTGCTGCTGCTGCTGCTGCTGCTGCTGCTGCTGCTACTGCTGCTGCTACTGCTGCTGCTGCTGCTACTGCTGCTGCTACTGCTGCTGCTGCTGCTACTGCTGCTGCTACTGCTGCTGCTACTGCTGCTGCTACTGCTGCTGCTGCTGCTGCTGCTGCTACTGCTGCTGCTACTGCTGCTTTTACTGCTACTGCTGCTACTACTGTTAATGGTGCTACTTCTGCTGCTGCTGCTGCTGTTACTGGGAGAAAGTCATAAATTGTCTCTTTTTACTGTTACTTAGTCTGAATCTATAGCCTTGTTCAATCTATCCATCTGTTTTCTTCCCCTTTATCCGTTGCCGGGTTGCCGGGGCAGCAGTCCCAGCATAGACGCACAGACTTACTTTTACTTACTTTTTTCTCTGAATTCTGTTGCTTTGAATGGGAGCAGTCAAAATGATGGCTATGGGAGATCAAATAGTCCGCACATAATTCAATCCATCCACTTTCTGCTGTGGTGTGGGTTAGGGGTGTCCAAACTTTTTAGTAATGGGGCCTCTTTGTTTCACCAGAAGTGTCCAAGGGCCTCTCACATAAATTATACAACTTTTTTGACTGAAGTAGAGTTCTGAGCTTTAAAAATGAGGTATGACATCAGAGTCGAAGTTGGCCTTAGAAATGTTCACAACATTCTGTGACACAATCCAAGACAAATGTCAGATGTACCATTAAAGTCAATGACTGGATTTCAGTGTGAGAAAAGGGGGAGTAAAAGGGGAGGAGAGGGTGGGGGGGGGGGGGGGGGGGGGGGGGGGGTCTGGTGTCAATATGGTGCTTATTTATTTGTTTAGCACAATTCATGCACACCGGCGGCAAAGAAACAGTCACATCAGGAAGTTATGGAACCATACAACAAGCATAGAAGACACACACACACACAGACACACACACACACAAGACACACACACACGCAGACAGACAGATAGACAGACAGACAGACAGACACACACAGACACACACACACACACGCAGACAGACAGATAGACAGACAGACAGACAGACACACACAGACACACACACACACACACACACACACACACACACACACACACACACACACACACAGAGAGACAGACAGACACGCATACACAGAGACAGACACACATATCAGACGGATAGAAACACACACAGACACACACGCATACACACATACAGACACACACTGACAGACACACATATCAGACAGACAGACACACACACAGACACACATAAAAGACAGACACACACACAGACACACACACAGACACACTAGTTTTCATAGTTTTCAAGAAAAGACAAGCATCACTTTCAAACTTTGAATGTGTATTTTCTTATAATAATACTCAATTTCTCTCTCTCTCTCTCTCTCTCTCTCTCTCCCTCTCTCTCTCTCCCTCTCTCTCTCTCTCTCTCTCTCTCTCTCTCTCTCTGTGTTTTATAAAACATTTGTATCCGCTCGCCATTGTCTGGTGTCGTCGTCGCTGTCGGCCTGCGAGTATTCTCTAAACCAATTGTCAGTAATAAGACTTCAGCACATTCTGGTATGAATATGCATATTAATCTATACACACACACACACACACACACACACACACACACACACACACACATACACCACGCACAAAAAGAGAAAGTTTTCATCCAATTACTCTTTTAAATCAGCAATAATTACAAGCCTATACATCATCTGCATATTTCAATTAATATTCAAATCTATTGTGAAGTGGTGCTGCATGCAGATGTACTCTAAGGCCAGGATTAGGTGTAAAAACGGGGAAGTCTCCAGCCCGTACCTTGGCTCCCACTTAATAAGCCGGGCTCCCTGGTAATGTTCCTGAACTTATTATAATGCAATCTGACCGGGCTTCGGAATCGCACACACGCCTAATATTATTTCTCGCAATTAAGAGGGAGACGGAGACGTGGAGAGGGCCTCGTTGGTTAATTTGCGGTTCCCGTGTAATGCAAAGCAGAGCGTGGTAAACAGGTCCGCGGCGCGAAAACCACTCATGTGTGCCAAATCTCATTTAAATATACCAATTCTTTGTTTTGTCCGATTCTGGACACATCCCTGTAGAATGTGAATGTGTCCAATCGCCGGGGGACAAGCGCTTCCTTATTGGTGTTTTCACTGTTTCTCTTCAGACCCCTAAACACCTGCTTTGTATGGACGATAAACTGTATCCCTCTGGTCTCACTCTGGTCTCTCTCTCTGGTCTCTCTCGTGTCTTGCTCTATCATCTCTCCTGGGTCTTTTGGTATTGTCCGCCTCTCTGGTTTATCTTGCTTGTCTCTTGCTCTGGTGTCTCTCTCTCTCTGGTCTCTCTCTCTATGATCTCACTCTGGTCTCTCTCTATGATCTCACTCTGGTCTCTCTCTGGTCTCTCTCTATGATCTCACTCTGGTCTCTCTCTGGTCTCTCTCTCTGATCTCACTCTGGTCTCTCTCTGGTCTCTCTTTGATCTTCCTCACTGGTCCCTCTCTCTATTGTCTCCCTCTGTTCTCTCACTTGCAGTCCGTCTCTCTGGTTTCTCTCTCTCTTGTCTCTTTCTCTGGTCTCTCTCTGGTCTCTCTCTGGTCTTTCTTTGGTCTTTGGTCTATGGTTTCTCTCTCTGTTGTCTCTGCTTTCTCTCTATCTAGTCTCTCTGTTCTTTCTAGTCACTCTGGTCTCTCTCTCTGATCCCACTCTCTGGTCTCTCTCTCTAGTCTCTCTGGTCTCTCTCTCTGATCCCACTCTCTGGTCTCTCTCTGCTCTCTCTCTCTCTCTCTCTATGATCTCAATCTGGTTTCTCTCTCTCTTGTTTCTCACTTTGGTCTCTCTCTGTTCTCTTTTTCTCTGGCCTCTCTTTGATATCCTTCAATGGCCTCTAGATATGTATCTTGTGTTAAGAGAGGGCCACAACTCTCTCTGGTCTTTTGCTCTGGTCTCTCTCTCTCTTTCTGGTCTCTCTCTTTGTTTTTTTCCGTGGCTCTCTCAGTTCCCTCTCTGGTCTCTCTCTCTCTGGTCTCTCTCTGGTCTCTCTCTGGTCTCTCTCTGGTCTATCTCTCTCTCTGTGGTATCTATCTCTATCTCTTTGGTCTCTCTCTCTGGTATCTCTCTGGTCTCTCTCTCAGTCAGCCTGCTCCCTGCCTCCACTGCTCTACCCTAGCGTTACAAATAAACTTTATATATACTTCTCCACTCTCCAACTTCTGCTTTGTGGTTCTATCTGCCAACCGTTACTCTCCTGAGCAGTCTGCGCACCCCGGCTTGTAAAAATACCCCCTCTACGACATTTGTCAATACATGTACATTCACCCGTCTCGGCAAATTTATTATATATACGCCCTGTGTCTCTGCTGCTACCGAGGACTTCAATTAGACAAGTACCTGTGTGTGTGTAGTGCTGTGCCCTAAGCTCCCTGGGGCCCTCGCTCTTCCATATTGAATCACACAGAGACAGTTAATATTCCGGCAGAAGGGCAGATCTATAAAGTCGCCCCCGTAAACTCCACACAGGGCTTTTATAACATCCAAATAATAGCAGTAAATAAAGAGCTTACACCTGCGCTGGTCCGGGAGCAGGTCAGCGCCGGTGAATACTCCTAATGGATAGCTTCATGTTAAAACGCGCCATCTGCCATCAATCTCCGAAGCCTCCCAGCGAGTTAAAGTCGGCAATGCGTCGGTGAGATAAAGCAAGCGGAGGTTAGGGGCTCCCGTTGAGAATAACACATCAGCCACACTCAGCCTGCCGCGCTAACATTAATAAAAATGCCTCGGCTTAAAGGTGACATTCCCAATTTACGATTATTTGTGTCTATAAAGCGCGTCCGTGTCCCTCCCTCGCAACTCGGACGCATTAAGCCGAGCAGGCGGGATGGAAATTCTATCCATTTTATTAAAGCGACAGCCCTTACAATACCTGAGACTTTCAATTTGCTCGCTGTGACCTCCAAGGACACATTTCTGTCTACCTACGAGCCATTCAATTCCCCGGCTGGATTCGGGGTAGCGCGGCGGTCTCTGCTGCTCCGGAGGGTCGACGGGCCGGTGTTATGGATGAGCTTCCAGGCAATTGTGAAATAGAGAGAGGAGAGGAGCGCAGGGAGCGACTCTGGGAGATTTACTTTGGGGCGGTAAGACGGATGAAATCGCGGGCGTATCTGTGTTAGTGATTGTTTTTCCTTCCAATGCGGGGGGATAGGGGGGAGGGGGAGGCAGAGGTGAGGCGGGGGCCCGACCTGTGGGACCTGGAGAGGGGATGGGATGAAGTCCAGAGACGGGAGATTGAGCTAAGCACCTGGAAAATTTATTTATTGTCGGAACGCAACTTTTGTGGCTTGCGCGCACCACAGTTTAGAGGAGTTTCTTTCTCTGGTCTCTCTCTAAGGTCTCTACCTGATCAATCTTCCTGGTGTCTCTCTCTCTGGTCTCTTTCTGGTGCCTCGGTTTCTATCTGGTATCACTCTCATTCTGGTGTTTCGCTCTCTGGTCTCTTTCTGGAGTCTCTCTCCGGCCTCACTCTGGTATCTTTCTGGTATCTCTCTCTTTGTTCTCTCTCTAATCTCTACCTAGTTTTCCTCTCTGGTCACTTTCTGGTGTCTCTCTCCCTGGTCTCTCCCTGGTCTCTCTCTGGTCTCTCTCTGGTCTCTCTCTGGTCTCTCTCTGGTCTCTCTCTGGTCTCTCCCTGGTCTCTCCCTGGTCTCTCTCGTCTCTCTGGTCTTCCCATAGCCCTCAGTCCTACTCATGCCCTTCAGTGCTGTGTCCTCTGCATCTGTATTTTGACAGTGTACGCACAACTTTTGACAGCTGTAGCAGCGCTCAGACTTACAACCAACAGATTTGATATCTCTGGCCTCTCTCACTTCAGCAGTCGAGGATTCAGGTGGTTGGAAAAGTATGAGAGTGTCTGGTGAGGGATTTTACAGCCTTAAAAGCACAAAGCTGCCACTCAAGGATTTCACTTATTTCAGGTTATTCTTAGAACCCATCAACCCCATGATAAACCATAACCCACTGTACACCATTCTCCAAGACAAAACAAGTAAAACAAGTCAAATGAAGACATGACTGCAACAACAATATCCCTTAGGCTACAATGGGTTCTCGTGGTGGTGTTGAGTTTCCACTGGGGCCGCTGTAACTGCTCCTGACAAGGACTTGAGGGTTTATTGATCCAACCAAAGCAGCACTTAATGTTGGATTGGAACAGGAAGACATCTCTGTAACAAACCTCGCTCCTCCACCACAAGCACACCGGGAAAGATGCATTAAGTAGGCTGGGGCGGGAGAGAGTGGACAATTATGGACCTGTGTGTCTCAAACTTGGCCATTACAAGCAGAGAATAAACACACTGACAAACTTTATTGTTTTATACCTATAAGCTTTAGAGCGCTTTTATGTATACTTTATGATTTAAGCTGTTTCCAAGCAACATCACAAGTAAAATGTGTGTATAATAATGTCAAAAAGTGCTGATGTGTGATTTTCAGCAAGAGAAATGTCACCTGTAAAGTTTATAGCCTGATTCTCTGATTTATTTTACTCCATGCTTTGAAAGATTACGACCTATAGGACATTGGTCAAAGCTGGAGTACCTCGCCTTTTTTACCAATGGGTCTTAAGAGGTTTCTTGCCGATGCTGCAGGGTCTGAGAACAGTGGTGATCCACGACATTAGTCATAGTTTAACCCCAAATAGGATGTGTTGTTGCAATCGTATTCCTGTCCAGTAATTACCATTTCTGGACACTGGTCATACTGTTCCCTTTGGACCAATGGCTCTCCTGTGTTTGTTATCATTGCATTTCCAGTGATCGAACTATTTGATTCGTTATTGTCAAATCCAAAACTTTATAAAGTCTTGCGAGATACCAGCTGTTGTGATTTAGGCCTTCACAATCATAGATATTTAGATTTACAGATTGACAATACAAAACGTTCTGGTAAAAATGTTGCAACCGCCTTTGAATAACATCATTTCGCTTGTATTTTTTTGATTGTGGAAGTTCTTACGGAGTTGAAAAGGCTTTGGAGAGGGTCTCTAGAGGTGCCACTAAAGACACGATGGCGTTGTCACGTGACCTTTGTCCAATCTATAAACAGAACTGAGAAGCACTTATTCAATCTGAAATAATCTGAGCCGCAAATGCACTCTTTGACAAGCGTAAAACCAATCCCTAACTGGAAGTTTGTTACCGAACTTTGCTTAATCTTTCTAAAATAAGAACGTGCTTTAGAAGAAGAGTTCAGATTAAGATGACTGCGATAGCGCCGTGGCCCCACCGATCGCCCGAGCCGGGAATAGACCACGCCAGCGCGCCTCTGAGAGCGTGGATAATTGCGTATCTAAAGCCGTTTCGGGACGGTCCGCTCTGGGAATGGAAGGCGCGACGGTTTGACAGTGAGGCTTCGGAGACTGACAAACAAATGCCACAGAGGATGACGGGGAAGGGGTCCGTCTCAGAGCTCCGCAGAGGCCCAGAGTGACAGCGGCCGACCCCAGTGACGGGAGAGCTGGCAGGGGGGACCAATCAGATGGCGAGTGGGAGCGCAGGGATGAGGGCGAGTTCGACAGGCTAAGTTTCCGCACAATGACTGACCGAGAGCTGAGGCGTGGGCTTAAATCGGTGACATCTTGACGTTCATTTATTGGTAGAATACATTTACAAACACTCGAGGACAGGGGTAAGACTAAACCAGGAACTTAAACACCGTTTGAGACTTTGAAAGTTTGAATATTTCTTTCATAAAAGACAGTTTTTGACTTTCATGTATTTTGACGCTTCTATTTGATCAACATGACTATTCTATTATTCACATGAGAGCCATATAGAGGCAGCTGATTGAGGTCGTCAATCGGACATTGTTTGGTAAAAGGTCTTGGTCAGGTCTAGATAAGGTCATGGTCAGGTCTTGGTTAGATCTGGGTCTTGGTCTTGGTTAGGTCTGAGTCTTGTACAGGTCTATTTCAGGTCATGGTCAGGTTTTTGCCAAGTCATAGTCTTGGTCTGGTCTTGGCGAGGTCACGGCCGTGGTCAGGTCTGGGCCTTGATCAGGTCTGGGCCTTGGTCTTGGCGAGGTCATGGTCTTGGTTAGGTTTGGGCCTTGATCTTGGCACGGTCATGATCATGGTCTTGGTCTGGTCCGACCCATATTTTGTCTGACAGTACCTCAGTTGGAAGATTGCATGAAGCTGAGGGTTGGTGGTTCAAATCCTTGTCCTTCACAGCCCTCCAGTTTGCATGTTCTCTTTGTGCCTGCATAGGTTTCCTCCGGGTTCCCCAGTTTCCCCTACCACTAAAAACATATACTATGAATACAAAGAGACAGTGGCCTTAGCCTGTGTGAAACGATTTATGAATTAAAATAATTAAAAACTCTTCTGACAAAGGAGACCGCAAGACAATAACGAAAATTACCAACGATCTTTAAGTCTGACAAAACCACAGATCTGCCTTGTCAGGTTTTAAATTAATTTCTCTCTGGGTCCAAATCGCTCGACTCTCACACAATACCAAGTCGCAGTAGCAACCCGAACACAAGAATATCTCGTCTTTTGTGCGCCCGGCGGTCCACCTCGCGTGCTAGCAGAGAGGTTGCCGGCTTATCCAGCTCCATTTCCCGTCGCGCCGCGATTATGCAACTCCTGATTCAGTGCCTCTTTCAAATGGAATTGCTTTTAGACGCCACAGTCCAAACTTGTGAAGAATACTCATCAATTAAACTCATTTAGTATCTCGGTGGATGCAGCCTCCTCCCAGCCGGTTTTAACCTGCTTTCGGCATTTGTAAGCGCCGCGCAAATGGATTCACTCGTGTGTGTGTTTTTTTTTTTTTCACTTACAATTACTTTAAACAAAGAGTAATCACCGGACAGCTGAGCGACGCTACCACCAGGCTAATTACTGGGGAAAAATAGCTACTTTGTGCCATCCACTGATTATATCAATAAGATTCTCCTCGGGAAAGGGCCAATCCTGACATCAGCCTCAGTCACTCGCATTTGTATGGATTTCATAATGCAATATTGCCCACAAAGTAAACATTCAGAGAAACGGGGCGAAAGGGAGGGGCGGGAAGCACACAGCACAGCCTGCGCAAATGAAAGAAGTCAGGAAAATATGAAGTTTTGAAACCAAATTGGCAATCACCATCCCTCTACCCCATGGTTAGATTGAAATTGCGCAAAGGGGGAAAGAGAAGGTTGAAAAATAAATGACATAATTTTGTGTACACGCAATTAAAGTGGGAACCCGCGACCGAGAGCCCGGGTTAGTTTATGATAGCACAAAGCAACCTATAAATAATGAATACATCCGCAATTATTCCGTCTGGCATTTGCATAATTATTTTTTTTCCCCTCCTTTTTCTTGCGTGCATCTGTTAACACGGCTTCTTTGTTTCCCAGCATTCGCCGCACCTCCCATGCAAACACGTGAACGGGGCTAAATTGACATTAAAAGCAAATCAGCTTCATTTATAATTCACGCGGCGGCCACAAATGCACCTCTGTTTGGCCCGGGGAGAGCGCCACGTGAGGACGAGCACTCAGGGCGGTAGGTGCGATGTCGGAAGGATGTTTTTGGAGCGGTTTCGGAATAGCTCGGGAAAGTTTACGGCGAGATTATGGAAAGGGTGGGAAGGATTCAGAAACACTTTCCAAGATAGCACTGATACTACTTTAAATGTGAGTATCGTTGTAAAACCAGTGAGTACTTGAATATTTACTGCATTAAAATAACTTGTGTTCATTTGAGGATTTTGCATTAAAGCTGGGGTATCTAACTTTCATACCACAAGACTCTCTCTCTGGTCTCATTCGAGTCTCACTCTGGTCTTTCTCTGGACTTTCTCCTATCTCTCCCCGGTCCCTCTCTCCCTGGTCTGTCTCTGGTCTCTCTCTTGCTTCTCTTTCTGGTTTCTCTCTCTGGTCTCTTTCTCTGGTTTCTCTCTCCAATCCTTCTCTCTTGTCTGTCTTTGGTCTCATTCTGGTTTTCCTCTTGTCGGTCTCTCTCTCTCTCCCTGGTCTGTCTCTGTTGTGTCTCTGGTCTCTCTTGCTTCTCTCTCTGGTCTCTTCCTCTGGTCTCTCTCTCCAATCCCTCTCTCTGGTCTGTCTCTGGTTTCTCTGTAATCAGTCTCTCTCTCTCTGGTCTCTCTCTGTTGTGTCTCTGGTCTCTCTCTCGCTTCTCTCACTGGTCTCTTTCTCTGGTCTCTCTCTCCAATCCCCCTCTCTGGTCTGTATCTAGTCTCTCTCTGGTTTCTCTGTTGTCGCTGTCTCTCTCTTGTCTCGCTCTGTTGTGTCTCTGGTCTCTTTCTCTGGTTTCTCTCTCTAATCCCTCTCTCTGGTCTGTTTCTGGTTTCTCTGTTGTCGGTCTATTTCTCTGGTTTCTCTCTGCAATCCCCCTCTCTGGTCTGTCTCTGGTCGGTCTCTCTGGTCTCTTTCTCTGGTCTCTCTCTCCAATCCCTCTCTCTGGTCTGTTTCTGGTCTCTCTCTGGTTTCTCTCTCTGGTCTTATTCTGTTGTGTCTCTGGTTTCTCTCTTCACTCCCTCTCTCTGGTCTCTCTCTGGTTTCTCTGTTGTCGATCTTTCTCTCTCTCTGGTTTCGCTCTTGCTTCTTTCTCTGGTCGGTCTCTCTGTCTCTTTCTCTGGTTTCTCTCTATAATCCCTCTCTCTGGTTTCTCTCTCTGGTCTGTCTCTGATCTCTCTCTGCTTTCTTTCTCTGGTCTTCACATTGCTACTCAGACCTTTAACCAACAGATTTGCTCTCTCTGGTCTCTCTCTCTTCAGCAGTCGTGATTTCAGTTAGTCAGAAAAGTGTATGAAACTAAATAAATTCACTTATTGCTGGTTATTTAGACAAATGAGGGACCAGTGTCTTGAACATTATTCTTGCCATTATGTTCACAATCTCTACGCAAATAGACGGGTTAAACTTGTTTCAAAAACGCTCGGCCACATTGATGACAAAAGTCTATTACAACATGGACTGAAAAAAAATCTCCCTTCACTCCTTCAGACTCATTTTTTTTGCTGAAAAATGACTTTTCAGAAACCCCATAATATCCCATCACCAGAACCTGTGTCGAGCCTTATGGACCTGTCACCGTGTAATTTACTACGCTCCCTAAACGTCTCATTACGGCTTCACCTGGCGTTTGACCGGGGCCTCTTGACCGAGCTGCGGGCCCCGAGTGTCAGCCCCTACTCACGGTACGGACCCAAACATGATCCAGGTGACTTATGGCGGCGCGGCGTGACCTTTTAATGCGCTGGTCATTGATTGGGCGCCGTCCTGCATTCGGTGTCTCCCGAGGTGATAGATTATTCAATTAAATATTGACCTTTCCCTCGGACTCGTTTGTCCGTGGAAATGCTTTTATGACGGCGGCCGCAGCGAGTTTCGGGGTCCGGGGGAAGCAGAGTTGTAGCGCGCCGGCCGATGTTTGGAGGCTTGAGTAAATGTTTGCTCAAGCTATTTTTAGGATTGAAAGTGATTAGTTTTATACTTGTTTTAGTATTTTTTTGAAGCAACTTTGAATTAAAAAAGGAAAAACTTCTATAACATGGTAGAAAAGTGTATTCTGTGTGTCCTGGAGATTCAGATCTGGATCGGACCTGGTTTTGAGTTGTGTTTTAGACCTGGTTCAGACCGGGTTCAGTCCTAGTTCAGACCTGGTTCAGACTTGGTTCAGACATAGTTTAGACCTGGTTAAGACCTGGTTTCTGCACATGTTAGACCTGCTTTAGACCTGGTTTTGAGTCTTGGTATAGATCAGCCTCACACCTGGTCTAGACCTGGTCCATACCTGGTTTGGACCCTGGGGTGGACCTTGTCCCTCATTAAAACTGCTAAAACTTCAAAAGTGGATCCTGTGCCATGGAGATGTTTTAAAGATTATTTTCGGAGCAAATAAAATAAAAATAAAAAGTGTTAAATGATAATTATTGATATAATTTCTCTCCAGTTTAAGTCCTTTTGCTCCGTTCTGGTCTGATGAGGACTGCCTTTCCACCCAGCGTCAGTGTAGACCTAGTTCAGACCTGCCTCAGACCTAGTTTCATCCTTGTTCAGACCTAAATTATACCAAGTTTTGACCAGGTGCAGACCTAGTTTAGACCAGGTGCAGACCTAGTTCAGACCAGGTGCAGACCTAGTTTAGACCAGGTGCAGACCTAGTTCAGACCAGGTGCAGACCTAGTTCAGACCAGGTGCAGACCTAGTTCAGACCAGGTGCAGACCTAGTTCAGACCAGGTGCAGACCTAGTTTAGACCAGGTGCAGACCTAGTTTAGACCTGGCATTGATTTCCTAGTTTGGACCTAGTTTGGACCTGGTTTTGGCATGGTTTTGACCTTGTTTAGACCTGGTTCAGACCTGTTTTTTTGGCCTTGGCACTTAAAAAAACTCCCTCGTTCAGTCACCTTGGGTTCTTTGTGATAATACTAATAATAATACATCAAACTTGTAGAGCCCTTTTTTGGACACTCAAAGACACTTCACATGAGGAAAAAAATACAACAATAAAAAAGTGGTTTACGGAAAAGCTTGCTTGAAAAGACGGGTTTTGAGTTTGTTAGTGAGTCAGAGTTTCTAATGGGCAGTGGGAGTGAGTTCCAGAAGGTTGGGGCGGCAATGGCAAAGGCTCTGTCCCCCAGGGTCCAGGGCGGTTAGTGCGGGTGATGGGAGTGAGGAGGTTGGAATCGGCTGAGCGAAGGCGGCGAGTGGGTTGGTGCTGTTGGGTTGGTACGAGCTCAAATGTGTACTTTGAATATTTCCGAGGTGATTATTACCTGATGGTGGCTTGTTTCATCTCGTTTAGTCTTGTTTAGTCTTGTTTAGTTGAGTTTTTACCTTTTTTGAACTGTTCTGTATGGTCCTGCCTGTACTCCACCCGTTCAAGAGACATATTCTGGTTCACATATTTCAGTTCATCTGGGATACTCCTTCTGCTTGTTGCTCAGAAATGGTTAGCGACGATAGCTTCCAACTCTTTTCGACTTTGATCTGAGTTTGTACGTGACCCCTCGGCGAGTTCTTCAAACACATAACTAATTCTTGAACCTTGCCTTAAGTGCACCAACTTTGTAGATCAAAAATGAATCCTCGCAGATTCCCGGAAAAAAATTGAGATGACGAATTCGTGGTGTTGCCATGGAGCTCTGGTGTGATGACATCTGCTGACAACTACTCTTTGAACTGTCGTGATCATGCCAAAACTTTACTTCCTTAATTGCCACAGATACTTTCACTTTGACCTGATATTATGTCATAGTTTTTCAAAATGTCCGCTGACTTTTGCCCGGTTCTGTCCATCTTTTTATTGACTGAACAGTGAAAGGGGATGGATGGAAACGTCTCATGACACATTACATTATTTTACTTTATATTTCAGGCTATTTGCTGCTTTTGGGTTGTCCTGGTCCTAGCTTTGTCACTTTTCAGTCTGAAAAAGCTAGTCTATAGATGTAACAGAGACCAGAGAGGGACCAGAGGGAGACAGACAGAGACTGGAGTTAGAGACCAGCGAGAAAGACCAGACAGAGAGAGACCAGAGAGAGAACAGATAGAGAGAGAGAGACCAGAAAAATTGACTGGGAGAGACCAGAGATAGAGACTGGA